ATGGAAAGCACAACCTATCAAATGAGACCAAAATCCATTCAATGAAACCACAATTTATGCACACACAACTATCTAGAAGCATACACCATTTGCATTCATAAGTATGGAACACCAAAGAACAAGAATAGATTATCCACCTATCTATGAATCTAAGGCAACTACACTACATCTACACTGAAGACATGGAAATTAAACTAAGTGAGCTAAAGGTGTAGCACAATCCATCAAGAAACAAGTGTGAACCATCAAATAAATTACAAGAATGTTCAATTAAGCACTATGTTTTGACCATCTCTAGATTAACTTTATCCATACACATAAATATGCATAAACTCCACTAAATCTAGAGAAAAACATATAAATCATCCATTCTAGCATCCATAGACATATGGTTAGAAATAGATAATCAATTAAAAGCATTAATCCATACACATCAAGTAAAAACTACAAGATATATATATATAAATCCAAGATCAAAACATTTATTACAAACAAATCCCAAAAAATATACAAAGCACTAAGTCTAGGAAGCAAACTTAGGGGCTACTCTAGCCCCAAGTAGATGTCTAGCCACTCATTGAAGTAGTCATCCAACCCTTAAGGGCTATCTCCATGGTAGGAATGACCTCCTTCTTGATGGAAACACTAGAAGAATGGAAGAACTCCCAAAGATGTGTAAAAACTCTATAGTCTCTAGCCTCCTCTCCAAGATATGAGATATGATATGTGTAATGAAGATATGTTCAATCTTGCTCTTAAAATGGCTCCAAATCCTTATATAGGAGGCTCAAGTATCACATCCAATGGTCTGGATTCATGCACTAGAGTCCTTGCAATGATTGCACCATGAGCCAACTTTTAATGAGTTGGAATTTGTTTTATTTCGGACTTAAGGAGGTTCGATCGATCGAACTGTGTTGAGATCAATCGAACTGAGGTGAGATCCATTGAATGCTGTAGAGATTGATCATCCTTGGCGGCGCATTTTTGAATAAAGACAAATCTCTGAGATATTTTGGGATATTTTGGGAAAGAGGCAAGAGTGCTAGGTGGGGTGGTAGGTGTGGATAAGATCAAATAATTTCGATCGATCTGAGAAAGGTTGGATCGATCGAAGATGGTGAGATCTTTTAGATAAGGACAATTGCTTAGATCCATTTTGATATGTCTAAATCGATGTTGCTTTGATCAATTGAAGGAATGTTGAGATCGATCGAACTTGCTGTTTTTCCATACTTTGCTTCCACTGGGACTTGTTCTCCACTATAAAAGAAGAGGAGAAGGCCATAGAAAATCTCGCTCTCATATCTCTCTCTCACGGCGGCTTTTAGGGTTTTGAAGAAGAAGATCCAAAAGAAGTTTTGGCGGTCTATGGCGATGAAGACCACAATAACACAGATGATATCTTGCGTTGTCATGAGTAGCTAATTCCTCTCTTAGGACATTGATGTATCCCGAATCCGAATACTATGGTTTGATTGTTCTGTACTTTGGGAATTTAATATATTATGAATTTTGATTGCATGATTTTGGGCAATTGATTTAATTCAATTGATTTTTAATGATTACATAGTTTTTGAATGATTAATACCTTGTCTTAGATTTAATTGTTCTTAAATTATATTCAACCCATTCTTATTAGACGGTATTTGGTGGAGGCCTATCGGACATAAGAATGGAGATCATGTAATGGTGTTCAAACGTTTTTCATGAATGAATGTTTTCATAGTCTATGCCTAGGGAAGACGAGTTATACTGCAAAATTAATTAGAAGTAGGTAGGTAGATAATTCATGCCAACCGAAGATAGGTTATAGTTAATTGAAATTCACGGAACAACTTTTTTTAAATCTGAATTAAATGAATGTTATTGAATTTAATTCCATATGATACATAATTATTGAAATCCCAAGGTTGAACAGTTGACCATAGTATGAGGTTCGTGGTGAAGTCAATCCCTAAGTATTTCTTCTCATGATCTCAATCTTTTTATTCTATTTATTTTCTTTTATGTTATTGAATTGCATCACAACAAACAAAATCAAATCCTCTTTCTAAATTAAAATAATATTAATTGAAAACTTGATAAACCACCACAGTCCTTGAGGTTCGACACCTTATCCTACAAGGATTCGTTCTATTGCGAGTAGTATTTTATTATTGATAAATAAAAACACACATCACATGCTTTTTCTCATATCAGGAAATTTTGTATGCCCAAAAATCCTGAATTCTCTTGTTGAAAAAGAATGATAAGTGGTCGGCTTATTTCAACCACAAAATGAAACATCACAGACAATGTAATACTATTACCTTTATTGTAAATAAGGCTGGGAAGGTTTCAACAGATCCCAATGTTGTTAAGCAAACCTTTATGGACTTCTATCAGAGTAATGTCGAGAGTTAAACGGATGTGTATCCCAGGTACCAGATTTCTCCTAAAGATAATTTGATCTTGGATGCTTCTGTAATCAAGACAGTTGTGTTTAATTTTAAACCTAATAAGGCCCAGGACCAGATGGATTTCCAGCTAGGTTCTTTCAAACCTTTTGGTCCATTATTCATCAGGAGGTTTGTGATGCAAGTAAGTACTTCTTTACATCAAGCTCTTATCCAGTAGGGGTAGGTAGTTCATTTTTTACATTGATCCCAAAATTTGGTAGTGCTATGAAGGTGGGGGATTGTAGGCCTATTGCATTGTGTAACCTTGTTTACAAAATTATTACTAAAATATTGGCTACTAGGTTTTCTTTGGTCTTACCTAAGTTAGTGGGATTGGAACAAAGTCCTTTCATTCAGGGGAGGAAGATTCAAGATGCCATTATTATGACCCATGAAATGATCAGCGATTTTTCTTTTAAACACCCTATGATGGCAGTAAAGGTAGATATAATGAAGGCCTATGACTTTATGTCTTGGGGTTTTCTACTCAAAATTTTGAATGCCTATGGCTTTAGTAGTACATGGGTGACATGAATTTCATTTATTCTGTCTTCAACTATATTTTCTATCTTGGTTAATGGTCCTCTACCTGGATTTATTTAGCTTAGCAGGGTTTAAAGCAAGGGTGCCCTCTGTCACCTATATTATTTACCTTAGTTATTGAGCAATTAACTCAAAGATTGGATGGTGTAGTCCTTAATTGTAGCATTGTTTTGTACCATACTGTTGTAAAGGCAAACTCTGCTATATGTCACACTTTTTTTTGCAGATGATTTGTTGATCACATGTAAGGCTTCAATCTCTAGTGCCAGGGCCTTATATTCTGTTTTTACAAATTTTGGTGATGCTTCTGGTTTGAAAATTAGTCTACAGAAAAATGGTATCATCTTTTCTAAAGCCTTGAGGAGAAGAAGGGCAATTCTTGAGTTACTTCAGTGTAAGGAAGAGGTTCTTCCATTAAAATATTTGGGGATTCCTTTGTGTTCTTCTGGTTTGAAGAAGTCTCACTGTTTTGCTCTCCTTGATAAGGTCAGCCAGAAACTCAATGCTTGGAGTACTAAGTTATTCTCAATTGCAGGGAAAGTTGAATTGGTTAGAATTGTAATTACACCAGTTTGTTTATACTGGAGTAATATGTTTCAGTTTCCTACCTCAGTGATAAATCAAATTCATAAGGAATGTAGAGATTTCATATGAGGTAGTAGAGATAATGGGAAAAATTTACATCTCCTGAGTTGGGGTTTGATCACTAAACCAAAGATTGAAGGTGGGTTGGTATCAGGAAATTGAAGGATCTGCAGACTGCCTCTGAATGTGTTTTGGTTTGGGATTACTTGTTCAGTAAAGATAGGTTATAGGTTTCTTGGTTCAAAGCTATATATGGGAGAAACTCATCATACTGGAATGTTGTCCCTACGGCTGCTCACTCAATTATTTGGAAGAATATGATCAACATCAGGGAAATAATGCAGCAAAATCTTAGTTTTTCTATTGGAACAGGCCAGAGTATTCGAGTTCTTGTTGATCCATGGTGTGATGGTCAAACTTTGTTGCAAAAATTTGGGCATAGAATGATTAGAAGGTTAGCTCTCCCATGGGATTCATCTCTTAATAGACTTATGGCTAATAGGAACTGGAATTTAGAGCTGCTCCAATATGATATTTTTATTCCTCTAAAATATTATGTGGATTTAGTTCCAATCCATGCTAGGGAAGAAAAATTTCTTTGGGATGGTGGGGTCTTCTCCTTCAAGAAAGTATGGCATAGATGTAAAGTGCATTATCCAGAAGTTGAATGGTATAAGTTGTGTTGGGGAAAGGGTCGGCCTAGGTGGTCTGTCCATGGGGTTTTTCTATTTCACGATAAGCTACCCTCTTTAACAAATTTGCAGAAAAGGAAAATCCAATTGGCTCCTAGATGCTCCATTTGTCAACAAGATAATGATACTAGAAACCATTTGTTTGTTAAGTGTCAACTTGCTAAGGATATGTAGTGTTAGCTGAGGGATTTTTTTGTGCTAGGATATGACACAAATTTATGGTATCACAAGTTTTTGGGAGCTGTTTTTGTGGTTTGAGCAGAAATCTAATAAACTACTTAATAGCTTGTTTGTGGCTTTTTTGTGGAGTATTTGGCAAGAGAAGAATGGTAGATTTCATGGTTCGGTTGGTAAATCTTCTCAGGAGGTGGCTAGACAGACTCTTTTTGAAGTACTTGATGTTAGCATCCAAGATCTTTTACATTAGGTTGTTGTTTTTTGTTCTCATGTACTGGAAATAGGCTTATTCTTAGGGCCCTCTTTCAATTTCGAGTATTTTCTGAGGGTATGCCCTATGTGCATCTGTAATTAATTCTTCATTTATATAATTCAACACCAATTATGAAAAAAAAAAAAAAAATAGTATCATATATATATATATATAATATTTATCAAAATCATCATTTTGCATAGTATCAAAATAAGAATTCAAAAATATTGTGCCTAGGGGCAGCTTTCGAAATGAAAGTTTTTAGGGGGGCCATTATTAAATTTTTAAAAATTACATATACTGTGTGTATATTATTATATTGAGGAGCCACGTTGACCCCGGGGACCTCCGTCCCTGCTTGGGTGTTAATCGTCTCTCCATCTGTTCGGACCAGCCGCCTCCTCAAAACCTCACGAAAGCATAGGAAAAGTAGTGGACGTACCCTAATCGGTATGATCTTACAACAGCTTTTAGATTCTGATTTCTATCAATTGGGTATTTGTTAATTTATGCCCTATTTGCCATAAACTCTCTCAAGTTTGGAATATGATGGTTTCATTTACCCAGTAATTTTATACACAACACTTTTCTGAATATGCTAAAGTAATGGGATTCTAGTGTAGTATTTGTTCTTTTTCTTGTTTTGAGATGGATTTTCATGGCTGATTAGTTTTGACATTTTCTGCATGACTTATATGCTTTCACCGACTTGATTGACTGAAGCACGTTTAGATGCAATTATGCGGTTTTATCAAACAATAATACTGGATTTGTGCAGCTTCGATGATTGTGACACTCTCATGTTAATGTTGTTGCATTGATTTATTTTCATGCGCATCTATTCGTTGCAGAGTGTATATATGATGGAAAATGTCTATAAGACTAGTAAATATATGTTCTTCGAAATTAAGGATATTGTGCTAATAGTTTTCTGAAAATCATATTTACAATGTTTATTATTGTATCATTTTACGTATCACCTTGAAGAATGTTTTCACAATTCAGTGAAAAAGCACCAATTTTATTTTTATATATTTTATTTTTTATTTTTTTATTTTATGGGAGAAGGGAATGACACTGAAGAAGCAGAAAAACAAATAATAGTGTTTCCAGAGCAGAAAATAACTCAGGCTCTAACCTGTGACCAATCACGAAAGAACTTGGAAAGACATGTGATTTGTGGGAATGGTTACATGACCTTGCCCTGACGGAGTAATCAAAATCATTAGGAAATCAGATAATTCGATAAGCATTTATTAGGCAGATGACTGCCCGGGCGCTGCTAATGAAATGAAGCTGAAGCAATATATAGGAACTTCGGTACTGATCAAAGATAAGGGACTTGTTGAAGGACTGGAGATGTTACTTAGATGGGGTGATAGGGTCGGCAATGGCCTTCTCTTTGGTCCATAATGATCATCTGCCAGTGATCTAGTAAAACTAGATTATTGTTTCCAACCTAGAAGATAAAAGAAATGACATGACTTTTAACCTGTTTACTGTTTCCTTTTGCTAATGAGATCCTTGCCTCTGCCTGTCCTGTCCTTTTTTGTTTGGTTTGTTAATAGAATAATTGCTTTGGAAAAAAATAATGATCCTTGCTCTCTCAAGAATAGTATCACTGTAACCATTTAATAATGTTTTTTTTTTTTTTTTTTTTTTTTTTCTTTTCTTGGGGGTGCATACAAAGTAGTTTTCTTGACACTGTATTTTTGCTATTGAAAAGTCTTGTAGTTTTGTTGTCCTCTTGCAATACTATTATAGAATATCTTCACTTTGTAAATACAAATTTTCTTAAGGGCATAAGAGATATGTATCTTGAGATGGCAAGACACTTGAAATACACTTCATTTTTGAACTCTGGTGATTTATACCCCAAGGTGCAGCGTTCACAACTTTTTTCTAGTTACATATTTGAGGTTAACCACTCACACAGTTACTGAACCTTTCAAGTACACATAGTTAAACATAATAATCAGTTTTTCCTTTCATAACACATACTGCTCCATGTCTTTGTTATATACTTCCACACATATATATATTGGTTTAAGATCTGTTAGAGGCTCTATATTAACTTAGAGATTATTCCTTTACCAAGGAATGCACATTGATTCCAATGATTTTTTACCATCCAATATGAAAAATCTTCTTTTAAGGCAAAAAATGTAGTGCTCAGGATTTTGCCTCTTTAAATCATGTTCTAATTCTAATTTTACTTTTCCATTCTGTTTTCATTTGGAATCCTGGCACATTTCATACCATAACTATAACATTTTGAGTTCTACTCCCAACAGAAAAATTGTTTTGAATATTGCTCTTTATGAAAACCCTTCATGTACTTCACAATTAGCCACAGTCTGGGATAAATTTGTACTGTACCCTATCATACTTTTATAAGTATCATATTTTATTCTGTCACACATCTTCTCAATGGGTCTTTTCATCAACTGATTACTAATTGTAAGCATCAAATAGTCGGTCTTATTTCTTTTACACTAGCATGCAAAATGTTCAATCTCAAACGCCTCTCTCTTGGGGCAGAGGAGTAAACCTTGGTGCAGAAAACTGTTATCCAATAAATCATCATCATCCTTGCCTTGATCCCATATGAATGGGTTGGTCACATGAATTCTCTTTTTCCATTTTGTTCTATTATAAGTCATCTCTCCTTTAATATTAAACTTTTTAAAATCGTTTTCAATGATTTCATCTCATGTTAATTTCGGGAGCCCTCTCTGCTTCCTATCCTCTAGGCAAATTAACCTTCCTCTTTTCATTGGTGCATTTATTGGTCTTCTATATATGTGTCCATACCACCTAAGTCCACTCTCTCTAATCTTATCACTTATAGGTGCCACACCTAATTTGTCCCTCACATTTTGGTTTTTAACCCTATCTCTTGTAGTATCTCCTATCATTCATCTTAACATCCTCATTTCTGCTACATAAATTCGTTATTCTTGTTTTTTTTATTTAAAGCCCAACACTTTGCGCCATATAAGATAGTTGGCCTAATAACTATTTTATAAAATTTTCCTTTTAGTTGTTTATCACGAAAAACGACACTAGTTGGTCTCCATTTTGTCCAATTTGTGATAATTCTACTTATTATATCTGCATCTATCTCATCGTCCTTTTGTATTAATGACCCTAAATACCAAAAGTGTGCACTTTGTATAATTCTTTGATTTTGAAGTGTAATCATAACCTCATTAATATCGGACTCTTCGCTAAATTTACATTCCATAAGTTCAGTTTTAGTTCTACTAACTCTTTTGATTCTACGCGTTTCTCCACCTTTCTAATAGGGGTACCAAACAGACCCAAAGACTTGATTTTGTCCCTATGTCGAAAGGCAAAAGTAAATAGGGTTTAGCCCCACCTGCTCCCCATCCTCTCTCTAACCAAGAGCGAAAATTTTGACTGAAAGCACAAGAAAAAGCTAGATTTGCTGGTATAGACTTGCAACTCTCTCTGTTTGTGTTTTTGGTTGTAGTTTGGTGAACATTTTGCACCTAAATGGCATGTTTTGGCAATCAGTTGTATCTATACCATTTATTTTTATTTTTTAGTTAATGTGTTGGTCTGAATTTGACATGTCCATCAACTAAGAAATTCTCTACATAAATATATTGTGGAAGTTAACAATGTTTTACAAGCTTGTAAAATTCTCTTCACTTGATATTTGTTGAATGATCTAAATAATAAAGTTACACCCTCTCTAATAGCTTAAGCTTTTGAAGTAGATGGTTGTTCACACGGTATCAGAGCAAGCGAGGTATTGTGTTCAAACCTCACCGTCTCCCTGATATTTAAAATTGAAACACATTGGACCAAAAGAAGGCCAGAAGTGAGGGGGCATGTTGAAGGATTTAAATAATAAAGTTACACACTCTCTAACAGCTTAAACTTTTGGAGTAGATGGTTGTTAAAAAATATTAAACACTTGGTGCTCTAAATTTCTCCTAACAATTCTATTGCCATGTTTTAGGGTTTGATGATATTTTTATTGTGGTTTTGGTTTGATTAGATTCTGAAATCGTCGGACAATTGCAATGATAGAAGGTGCCCGCATCCATCTTAATGGGTGGCAACGTGCTGCAGTTGCGCTGGGTTCGGCAGTTGGTGCTTTACTGGACCCGAGAAGAGCAGATCTGATAGCAGCTCTGGGGGAGACAACTGGAAAGCCTGCTTTTGAAAGGGTTCTTCAAAGGATGAAGAATAGTCCTGAAGGCAGAGTAAGTATTTTCTTAATTATGCATACAGATCCTAGCTGTTACAGTGGTCATTTTAGTCAGATGACCTAGTTGTAATTGCTACATGCATTAAGAATAATGAATAGAATGTCCATATCAAACGTCATATTGAGGTTTCAAAATATTGAGATATTGGATATTGAAATCATTGTGAAAAAGTTGAAAAATTAGCAGCAAAACTTGGAAAATGGAACCTTGGAAAACGTTGAACTTCAATGAAAAAGTTCGTCACAATATTGTATAAAGATGCATAGATACCCAGGTATGCAATGTCGAAGATGCGAAAAGTAAACATGTGAAGTATAGTAGTATATACATTGATCATCAATTATTGTAACACAAACAATACTACCTTATCCAATATACACACACGCATATATATATATTTTAAATACCAATAATACTTTGTCAATTATCCATACCAATTACTCATTCATTCTAGTAAGTTTTAAATGTCTTGTTTGTTAAAGATTGTACTCTTTTTTTCTTTCTTGATTAATAATATTTGAACTTATATTTTCCGTTACACATCACCATACATTTAATTAAAAAACAATATTTAAAAAATAAAATAAAATGTAAAATTCATAATTATGAGTGCAACTACATGCTATTTCTTTAGCATATGTCTAGCATAGTTAAATCCTGTAATATTCTTTTTTCCTTTTTTTTTCTATTCATAAAAAAAATAAAAGAATTAGAGAAAAGTCTACTATTTTATGCCATTCAATTACTTTATGTAATTAAAATTCAGTTTTGTCGATCTAATTTCAAATGTCCATCTCATACACTTATATATATGTACACATTATATAAAATAAAAAATATAATATAAATAACATAATAATGGTATAGTAATATATATTATGAGTAAACATATAAGATTTGAACTTATTTGTAGTTGCGCTCATAACTATAAATTTTACTTTTAAATTTTTTTTTTATGCTTTTCTTTAATTAAAAGTATGGTGATGCATGTAAGAAAAAACATACGTTGAAATATTATTATTCGAGGAAGGAAAAAAAAAAACTTTTCGCTAAATTCACCCAATTGGGAAATTGCATAAAACCCCCCTTTGACTTGGTTAGAAGGGGTATTTTTGGCAAAAGTTTAAATAGCAAACCCCCTCCGTTAGTTGGTTTGGCAAAAAATTAGTTAAGGGGTTTACTGCAAAACGGTGAAAGTCAAGGGGGGTTAAATGCACTTTACCCATAAAAGATTAATCTTCTTCTTCTCTTCTAATAAATTGGCAGTATAAAGCATCTCTCTGGATCACCATTATGTAAATATATTTATTTTTTCAGAATCAATGTATCTAATATATTTTTTGCACTGTATTTTTCATATCTTTTAGGTAAATAACTATATTTAATATATTTTTTGCACTATATTTTCTATATCTTTTAGGTAAATAACTATATTGTACTAATTATTACAGTGTTATATGATATATTATGTTTTAAATTTAACTAATATCACCAACAGGCCAGTGGCAAAGCGGTACCAAACCCCAACTTCTCAAAGGAAGGTCAGGGGTTCAAACCTCAGTGCAGGTATGAGTGTGTAAGTACCAACTAAGAAAAAATTAAATTCAACTAATATCAGATGATCATTACAACTTTGCAATACATAGCATCGTGAGGCCTGTTGGTGTAATTGTGCTTTATTATCCTCTCACATCAAGTGCTCGAGCCTCACCTATGGTTATATTCTATTAATAATTAATTTTAAGAATGGCTCCTCTTTCTCCATAGTAAACTCTGTCCTCACAATTAAACTAAACTGCTCAGTGAATTTTCCTTGTAATTAGATATTTAGCAAGAGCTTAGTATTATATCTCAGGATAGAAATTTGGATTAGATATGGAAACTTTGGATAATATACTGTGCCTGAAGCATAAGAAAACTAGGAAACAGATACTTCCATGCACTCCTGTTTCTCCATAGTAGCTCTTTCCTCACAAATAAACTTAACTGCTCAGTGAATCTTCTTCTTATTAAATATTTAGAAAGATATTTTAGTAACATTTATTGCAAAATTTGAATCGAATCATGGAGGTATCTTAAAGTCCAACTTCTTGACGACTGGGATATTCATATCAGACTCTAGGGACATATTATGCCAAGGTTTTGGATTCATTTTACTTGGATGGTATATTTTTCTGATAAATTCAAGGTATTAAAAATTTATTTTACTAAAATTAATAGTAGAAAAAAAGGGAGTAATTGAATAGCTAGATAATATCTTTTTTCTTTGGAGGACTGCGGTAATACCTTGGAACGCAGTTTTAAACTGGCCATTTATGTGTTATTGCCATTTGTTCACAATAGACCCTTGATCCAGAACCATTGGATAATTCAGGTATAGAGAGACATGGAAGACTTGAGTAGCTTATGAGAATCTTTTTTATGTTAACTGTTAGTTTCCGCTTTAGTTCTTTCAACCTACTTTGGCAGTTACTGTTTTGAAATCTCTGTTATCTGCCTAATTGATGACATTTTTTTAACTATTTAGAAGAAAACTTGCATCTTTCTCAGGCAATACTACTAGAGAGGCCTCGTATCATCTCTACAAAAGTGGGGCATGCGTGGGACCTACCAGAAAACACATTTGGTGCTGCTTACGCTAGGTTTATGGGATCCAGGAACTTCTCTCCAGATGATCGCCCACCGGTGCGATTCATGGACACAGAAGAACTGGCATATGTGGCAATGCGTGCCCGTGAGGTTCATGACTTCTGGCACACCCTGTTTGGCCTTCCGACCAACTTGATTGGCGAGTCAGCACTAAAGGTGATAGAGTTTGAGCAAATGCTGCTTCCTATGTGCCTTATGTCCGTTGTAGGGGGCACTGCGAGATTCAGTGAGAAGCAAAGATCAATGTTCTACCAGCACTACTTCCCCTGGGCCCTCCAGGCTGGTGTGCGATGCACAGACCTTATGTGTGTATATTACGAGAGGCACTTTCATGATGATCTGGATGTTGTTCGGAAGAGATGGGGGATAATACCTGCTCCTCCTGCTCCCAAACCAAATTTGGCCTGAGTTGTCTGATAGGCAGTAGCTGTATCCTGTTTGGAAACAGAAATTATGAGGTGGAATTTTAGGTTGGTTTTTTTTTTTTTTTTTGGCCATTTCTGTGTAAACTAGGATAGTACATGTACCAACAGAAATGCATTCGAACAGTTGAAGGAATCTAAAGGAATGATTTAACCTTTCGTCACTTGATTTTTCAAAGATGTATGGTAACATGGATCAATTTTTATCTGCATTTGTCGTAACTCATTCGGATGCATATGCTGGAAGCTTTCAAGGATCCACCTTTGGGTTTTTTTGCTCTTAGAATCATAGAAAGAGCATGCTCCATGTAACTATTACCTGTGTTGTTTTTGGGGCAGAGTTAAACAAACCGATTTTTGTACAATTTTTTAATTTTCAGTTGTTTGAAAAAAGAAAACTGCTCTAAAAAAAACTGAACCAAGCAGACCACCTTTTAACCTTCTACTTCATTTTTTTCCCCTTCTCTCTTTTTAAGAATGACTATATGTGAAATCAGGAGTGCAGATGCAGGAAAGGAAGGCTGAGGGAGTGTAGTACTCAATCATAGTAGCAAAAATAAAAGTAAAAAAGGAAAAGCTTTTCGTTATGATTTAATATTTTAATTTGAACCATCAAGGATTGTAGCCTAATAAAAAAAGGAAAAAAAATGATTTGAGAGTATTCTTCATTTGGCATTATAATTTGGATGAGAGGGAAAGAGAAATTACAGATATGAGAAGAGAAAACACAGGAAACATCGTTCTCTTTTTGTTGCCGCTTTTCTTCTTTTTCTGTCGCCGTTCTCTTTTCTTTCTGTCGCACTAGAGAAATAGTAGCTAGCCGTTCTCTTCTCTTTCTGTCGCCCTAAAGAAATAGCAGTCCATTGGAGAGCCCATTATTATATTTTGAAATTGGCAGCCCATTTAGCACAGCATTGGAGTTGCTCTAACTGTCAAACATTTTGATTTGAGGTTGTTTTAGCCATTTAAGAATATAATTTTTTCGGCCTCCGTCTATAATACCTTGAGCAGCCTTCTTTCTCAAGCCGCAGTTTGGGTCACCAATGTTATTCAAAATTCTGTATCCCGCAACACATTGAAAAACATGCTTGTTATAATGGAATGACACTCTTGGCATGCAGTTATAATGATGAAATTTCTCTCATGCTATAAAGATTGCTTTTTTATAGAATTTTACAATCCTTTGAGTTGCTTACACCGATGTTCTCATTAGAAAATGCGCAAGTAACTTGCTCTTTTTCAAAATCATCACCCTTTTCAAGACTACGTTTTACACACACACATATCAAACTACTTGATCCATTTTTCATTCCATTATAATGCCCAACTCTCATAAGATTCCTAGATATTCCTCCCCTCACTCTCTTCTCTTGATTTTTAGACAAATCATCCTCTTCTTAGCACTTAAAGTCCCACATTTTCAACCTTTTTGAACCTCAAAACCCCATTTTACACAGATTGGTTATTTTTATCATTTCCTTCACACTCGTCTTTTTAACCTCTCATAGTGCATTCCAAAACCCCATTCTATGTAAAAGGTCATTTTCAACCTCAAGACATCATTTTAAAGAAAATGGTCATTTTACAGACATTCCCCTTTAAACCCTTCATTTTGCATTTAAAAAACCCTCATTTTATGTAACCGTTTTACATCGAATGGTCATTTTCATTCTCAAATGGTTATTTCCCTAGCACTTTTCATTTTCATACTCTCATTTACCTCTCTAAAATCCATCTATGTAAATGGTCATTTTCATCTCAAAACCCACTTAGGAGGTATTTTACATCTCCTGTAATACCCTGTAACATACCTCTTCTCTTGTTTTCACTTCCGCATTTCGGACTTGATGGGTTTTTAGTCTTCTAGATTAATGCACCGGATCACGGGATTTGGGGCGTTAAATTTCTCTTTTAAAAGAGTATGGCATGGTTGTAGACATGTCTATGATGAGGTGGATTGGGATAGTTTGTGTTGGGGCAAAGTTAGACCAAGATGGTATGTTACTGCAATCTTTGTTATGTTGGATGGATTACCTACTATGATTAATTTGCAGATGAGGAAAGTTAATTTGGCAGCAAGATGTTCAAACTGTCTTAAGGAAGTTGATAGCAGAGATCATTTGTTTGTTTTCTGCCCATTTGCTCAAGCTTTGTGGTTCTGGATTGGTGAGACACAACAATGGAACACTGCTCAGTTTGCCGTGGTGAATGGATTCCGGGATTTGGTCTCTTGGTTCAAACAGGTTCATTTCAAGCACATAAAAAGTCTGTTTGTAGTAGGGGTGGCAAATTATGACACGACATGAGTTAAAAAAGTTTGGATTTGGCATAAACAAGTTTGGATAATAAAAGGATCGACACGATTAACCCGTTTACTTAACCGCGTCGGATTAGGGTTGAGGGGTTCAACCCGTTTATGATCCATTTAACTCAATATGTTATAATCGTAGATATGACCTGTGTAATATGTTACCTATTTAAATCTAATTACTATAAATAGTTAAGTCATTTCAACATAAACCTTGTCTATGTCTTATAATTTTTCTTTTTCTTTTAAATATTTGAGTTAATTTTGACAATTTTTTTCAATTATTTAGTATTTGATTAAATATTAAATATCTCATTTTGATAAACGGATCATTAAACAGGTTAACACGTTTAACTGTTTAATAAACGGATTGGATTAGTGTTGAAGATTCTTGACACGATTATTAAATGAGTTCAGTTTGGATTTACTTATTTAATATAATATCTTTACATCGACACAACATGACATAACATAAACACAATCTACGATGAATTGTCACCTAGTTGGAAGCTTGCTTGTGGGGTATTTGGCAAGAAAGGACCTCAAGATTGCATGACAACTGTCAAAGAGACCCGGATACAGTGGCTAGATCAGTTTTGTTGGAAACACTGGATGTACATCAAGCATCTATTCATGACATTCCTTTTTAGTTTGTGTTGCTTTATTATTGTTTTGTACTGGAAATGGGTCTTTTTATTTATTATTTATTATTTGTCAATTTCCAGATTTGAGGGTATGCCCTCTTGATATTGTACTTATTTCCATATCTTATAATACAACACCAATTAAGAAAAAAAGATAAAAAAAAAAAAAAAGTAGAAGGAACCCATTATGCGACTTAAATGACACAAAATTAGTCTTTAATACTCCTAGTACACATTAGGGGCAAATGTGGAATATCACACTAGTAGTGTTTGTTTCGAATGAATATTTTTGATTTTTTTTTTCTTTTCAAGTTGAACGCACTAAAAGTGCTCGTTTTAAATATTTGAAATTTTTCGAACGTTAAAGAATTTAAGAGCAATATTCTTCTCGTAAATGTGCATGATGAAAATCAAATCAAACATAATTCATTTCTTATGAACTTAAAAGAGAACTTACGAGTCCTCCAAGATGAGATTGAAGAAAAATTGGAGAGTTCTTAAGATTGAGTGGAAAAAGAGTTGTGGTAGTTAACACTTGGTATGATATTTAGAAGGATGATTTTTTTGGTAGTGTAAATATTTATTTGAAAGTCAACAAATTGATTAACCAAATTCAACAATGTTGTTGTTTTTTTTTTATATTCAATGTGGACATTAAGATATTACTGTCCATGTTCGTACTGCACTCATTAGGATGAATACTTACTAACAAAAATTTCCGAAGTGTGGAGGAATTTTACATCACGTGATTGAAAACCCCATCGGAGTTGCCAAAATTGAAACAAATGTGGACCAAGTTGTCCTTTTGTAAACTTCCGAAAAAAAAGTTATCCTTTTGCAATTATTGGCGTCCCAACTATCAAAACACGTGTGTGCCCAAATAAGTACCTATTCGTGTGTGCCCAACTATAACTACACCATTTTAATTTACAAAATTCTACACCCTGGTTTCTCCTGGGCGGCCCTTCTGGAAAGAATTGGAGTGCCTGAATAACTAAACTATTCTTGATTTTTTTGGGGCCTCACTCTTTTAGTTTCAGATATGCACTTTATAGTTTATGGTTAATCCACTTTCAGTAGCATAAGCTAAGCTTGTGTCCACCTTTGGTGTTTTATTGTTGGGGTGGGATCCTGTTGAAAATAAATTTGTGTATTTTGTTATGCTCACGCAATATTTTTATTTTTAAAATATAATATCATCAATTAGAGAATTTAACACTTATTATTGATTTGAATTAATGAATATTCTCATATAACTACTTAGTCACTGTCTCAAATGACATTATTTTTACCCTCTAAAAAAACAAGAGATTGAGTCCCGATATCACTATAAACATGTTTTGAATAATCATGTTTGAACAAATGAATGTGTTTGTTTCGAACTTCTATAGTAATAATGATAATAATTTATTTACAAAAATAATAATAAGAGAGGTTGAGAGCCAATGTGGTATTGTTTGAGTGATTAGGTTGTCCCTATTTTCGAAAGTTCATAGAGACGAGTTCAATTCCCCACAGACACAAGTGGGTGTTTGTGAATATATATCTATTTATATATATAAACGATCATCTTCCTTAATTATTTCACTTTATTCATCCAATTATATGTGTAAGACCTAATCTATATTTTATATTTACTATATATTCTGTCATGATATTTATTTCACTTTATTAATTTTAACATAAGGTTATAATAAAATTCTTTAAAATAAGCCTTTGCAATGAACTATTTTTTGTATATGTTATGGAATGGAATTTTTTAGTATGATTTTATTTTGTACAAGACTTGCTTACTCACCAGTGAGTATGGGTTAATGTGGTACAACTATAATAACAATTGTACAAATAGACTATAATTACAAAATCAGAAAAATGATAAATAAAAACTAAGGGAGAGTAACTGAATTAAAAAAAAAATAAAAAAAATTATTATTATCCTTATTTATCACTTTTTTTATTTGTAACCACAAATATTTGTTCATTTGAAATTGGACATCATCGCGCTGGACCAAATGTGGACCAAGTTGTCCTTTTGTAAACTTCCGAAAAAAAAGTTATCCTTTTGCAATTATTGGCGTCCCAACCATCAAAACAGGTGTGTGCCCAAATAAGTACCTATTCGTGTGTGCCCAACTATAACTACACCATTTTAATTTACAAAATTCTACACCCTGGTTTCTCCTGGGCGGCCCTTCTGGAAAGAATTGGAGTGCCTGAATAACTAAACTATTCTTGATTTTTTTGGGGCCTCACTCTTTTAGTTTCAGATATGCACTTTATAGTTTCTGGTTAATCCACTTTCAGTAGCATAATGTCACGGGCCTAGAGATTTGGCGCAGCGGCACGGCCCGTGCGGCACCAAGGCGTTGTTTCAGCTCGTGCAAGCGCCCTGGTCAGCCACCACGACCTGCCCTTCCAAGGATACATGTTAACTGGTTTCGGCCTGCCATGGCCTCGTCAGGGGAACGGCTCCAGCTCCCGACCAGTTTGTGCAGGGATGGCCAACTCCCTTCTTCATAGTCAAGTCCAAGACTAGCGACAAGCACCTCGAACTGAACCGAGTCGACCTGCCTGAACTCTGAAGAGGTACCATCCTGTGTTCCTGCACGCCCCTTCCCTGGAACCATTCCCAGTCAAACTCTGCTCTTTGCCAACCAGCATGCGTGTCTTCCATCCTCCAAGCGTCTTAGGAATCACTTCGTGACATTCTCCCCCACCCAAATCCTGCGACGTCCTCGTCGCAGTGCGGCGCTTCACTACTACGTCCACTCCCTTCCAAAGTCTGCCTCCATACGGTATGCTCGCCTTCCCACCATCGCTTCCTTGTGCAGCTCCCTGCACTGCACTCGCCCAATGATAGGCCTCGGACCAAGGGGACGTCCACTCCTCAAGGACGTGACTCTTCTCCGTCATGCCGCCTCCGCGACATCCCGAGCAAGCAATGGCCTTCTGCCGACTTGATGCTCGCCCTTCACCATGGTTTGCATCACCCAAGGACTAAGCACGAACTTTGGTGCGCGCGGCCCTCCGGCCCTTCAATGCGCAACTTCAACGGACGCCTCTTCCTGGAGAGATGGAGGCTCTCCCCCCCAACTGCATTGATTCCTCCACATCGACGCAACTTCAATGCACCGTCTTCATTCTCTGACCCCTCCGGACCGACAAGGGGGCACCCCACCGTGCTTTACCCCAAGTCCTGCTCTGATACCATTTGTCACGGGCCTAGAGATTTGGCGCAGCGGCACGGCCCGTGCGGCACCAAGGCGTTGCTTCAGCTCGCGCAAGCGCCCTGGTCAGCCACCACGACCTGCCCTCCCAAGGATACATGCTGACTGGTTTCGGCCTGCCATGGCCTCGTCAGGGGAACGGCTCCAGCTCCCGACCAGTTTGTGCAGGGATGGCCAACTCCCTTCTTCATAGTCAAGTCCAAGACTAGCGACAAGCACCTCGAACTGAACCGAGTCGACCTGCCTGAACTCTAAAGAGGTACCATCCTGTGCTCCTGCACGCCCCTTCCCTGGAATCATTCCCAGTCAAACTCTGCTCTTTGCCAACCAGCATGCGTGTCTTCCATCCTCCAAGCGTCTTGGGAATCACTTCGTGACAATAAGCTAAGCTTGTGTCCACCTTTGGTGTTTTATTGTTGGGGTGGGATCCTGTTGAAAATAAATTTGTGTATTTTGTTATGCTCATGCAATATTTTTATTTTTAAAATATAATATCATCAATTAGAGAATTTAACACTTATTATTGATTTGAATTAATGAATATTCTCATATAACTACTTAGTCACTGTCTCAAATGACATTATTTTTACACCTCTAAAAAAACAAGAGATTGAGTCCCGATATCACTATAAACATGTTTTGAATAATCATGTTTGAACAAATGAATGTGTTTGTTTCGAACTTCTATAGTAATAATGATAATAATTTATTTACAAAAATAATAATAAGAGAGGTTGAGAGCCAATGTGGTATTGTTTGAGTGATTAGGTTGTCCCTATTTTCGAAAGTTCATAGAAACGAGTTCAATTCCCCACAGACACAAGTGGGTGTTTGTGAATATATATCTATTTATATATATAAACGATCATCTTCCTTAATTATTTCACTTTATTCATCCAATTATATGTGTAAGACCTAATCTATATTTTATATTTACTATATATTCTGTCATGATATTTATTTCACTTTATTAATTTTAACATAAGGTTATAATAAAATTCTTTAAAATAAGCCTTTGCAATGAACTATTTTTTGTATATGTTATGGAATGGAATTTTTTAGTATGATTTTATTTTGTACAAGACTTGCGTACTCACCAGTGAGTATGGGTTAATGTGGTACAACTACAATAATAATTGTACAAATAGACTATAATTACAAAATCAGAAATATGATAAATAAAAACTAAGGGAGAGTAACTGAATTTAAAAAAAAAAAAAAAAAAAAAAAAAAAAAAAAAAAAAAAATATTATCCTTATTTATCACTTTTTTGATTTGTAACCGCAAATATTTGTTCATTTGAAATTGGACATCATCGGGGGGTGAATTGGTATCGTGAATTGGTATCTTATGAGATTTCTACAACTTTTTATCTTAATCCATGGTGATAGAACCTCAAATGAAATGCTAAAGATTGCCACACATGACATATACGAGGTAAAACCCCGCCGCGGGGGGGTGTTGGGGGGGGGGGGGGGGGGGGGGGGGGGGGGGGGGGGTGAACGCCCTGGTGCTAGGACCACTCACCAATATCACAACAATCACTCAAGCACTCCCCCTCTTCACAGCATCCCAATGCTTGAACCAAGTGCTCACCAAATCACTCAGCAAGAAAATATAATAAAATGATGGTGTTCTCCCAAGTTTTAGAAGATAAGAGTTAAGTAAGCATAAAACTTGAAATATAAATTTCACAGCCCTTACATGATAAGCATTGCACACCGCTTCTGAATTTGATCTTATCAACTTCAAAGCTTCAACCGGAGATGGTGTTTGTTTGAACGGAACTGGACTAAAGCTCGCTTGAAATATTTCTGTAGGATGAAACTACAGCGGAGCTTGGATACAAGCTTAGAGATTTTTGCCGGACTGGTATGCTGCTGTTTGGGCTCGCTGGACTGAGAATGAATATCACCGGCATGAGGTCTTCTTGCCGATAGAGATTTCGGCTCCCTGTAATGAAGTCTTCACGCAGGTGTGGTCGCTGTAGCTCTCCGGTGACGGGTTCTTCAATGGAGTGTCACCTATTTATCTTCAACAGGACTTCGGCCAAAATGGGTCTTCATGGTTGCTCTAAATTAGTCTGCAATCAAGCTCACTCTTTGGTCTTCAATAGATGAACATCACAGGTTATCTCAGATTGTCAATGAAGCACAGACCCACTCAATCTTTCTTGATTCTTCCTTGCGCACCGCTATGTCACTCTGATTTTTCTCTGGAGCTCACAATGTGTCTTCATCTTCAAGCTCTCTGAAAATTTTTTTCTTCAGTTTTTGTGCTCACTTTTACACAACCACACCTATGATCTATATATATATATATATAGCTTATAGTTTTGGCTGGACACAAGCTACTCCCACTTCCCACCTTTCTCAATAAAGCTACTCCCAATTTACCCAATTCTCATATTATTCGAACTTTTCTTTGGTCAGGAGGAAAGCTAGCAAAGAGAGAGAGAAAGAAAACGAAATGATGGGCCATAATAAGAAAAACATCATATGAAAATTACCAAATAATAAAAAACTACACAATCAGAGACCAAATGGTGCAAAAATAAAACATAACTATTAAGAACCAGAGGAAATTATTGGTTTTTTAAACACTAAAGTGGAAGAGTAGTGTTTGTCAAATTGTATCAGAAAAAATATATATAATAAATATGTATATTGAACCTGTTTGTTGTTTCACAAGTTAAGTCTATGTTGTCGGTTGTTGATGTATTATATACAGGGAAAAATAAAAAATTCTGTTATCAAAAAATAAAATAAAAAGGAAATCAACTGAAACCGACAAACCGAATCGAACCAAACCGATTTTTCGTGGTTTGGTTCGGTTTGGTTCCATGGGTATTATGGTTCGGTATGATTTCAAAAATAGTGGAATTGTTACAAATGGTTTGGTCTCAAAAAAACTATCAATCCGATTCAGATCGGACCGTGTGCACCCTAGAAAAAACTATATATATTTACTATGGAGAAAATTAGGTTAGTTTAATTAAGTAGTTGGTAAAAATGTCACCAGATTGTTAAAGTTGATCAAGGAATTTAAGGGCAAATTTGTCATATCTTGTTTCTTATATGTCATGTGCAAGGAAGAAGCGTTATTACAGCAATGTAATAAAAATAATGTGTTTATTACCATATATATATATATATATATCAGCAATATGTCCAGGTTTTTTTAAAAAAAAAAATTTATTTTTGAGTTAATACATTTTTATTTTATTTTATTTTATTTTTGAATTAATACAATATTTAAAGTACCCTTATTATTACAAACTTAGATACTACAATGCTATAATTTTAGATTAAATACTTGACCAACTCAACTCAATTTTTAATTGCAAATTTAAACGTGGACATGGGAAAATGTTAAAAGGAGAAAAGCCGCCGTGGAGGAGAAAAGCCGCCGAGACACAGAGACACTACTCGGAAACATCCCCTCTTCTGTTTCTCTCTCTAGACACACACACTCTCTCTCTATATCTCTCTCTCAGCAATCTCACTTCTATAAAATTAAAATTTGCTTCCCCCTATTCCTCTCTTTCATTTCATAATTTCTCTTCCCTTTCGATCATCATTCGATCAAGATTCCTATATATATAAAATATTATATATACACACACACTATGTCGGCATGTTGCCGCCGGATAACCGCCGGCGCTTCCTCGTTGATGCCGGCGAACGGTCAGATTCAGCTCCGGTCAGCTACGCGCACCGTAGATCAACTGCCTCTAATTCCTCGCCTTGGCAAGAATCGACGGCCAGGGATCGTCCTGCGATGTCAGGTGCAACCGGGACCTTGGGTGACGGAATCGATTGGTCCGACCAGGAGGATGTGGAATGGCGGACATGAGGCGAAGATCAAGCGGCGGTGGTGTGCGGTTGGGGATCAGAGTGTGGGAGAATTGGCGGAGAGTGTCAGTGTGAAGGGAGGCCGCGATCGGACGGCGGAGGTGATGGTTGCAGCGGCGGTTACGGTGGTTCTGGGAGTAGGGAATCGGGTTCTCTACAAACTGGCTTTAGTTCCTCTCAAGCACTATCCTTTCTTCCTAGCTCAGTTCGCTACTTTCGGGTAATTTCTTTACTTTTTCTTTTCTTTTTTTAAATTTATTTTAATATTTTCATTCGCCTCTTTTTGTTCAAAAATAAATAAAAGGTTTTATTACAGTTGTACCCACTTTCAACTTTGATAGAGTTGTATGGTATGACATGTTTAATTTGGTCCTTTTATTTTAATTTTGCTCTTGGATAGAGTAGTATGAAAAAGGTTTTATTACACTTTTACCCACTTTCAACTTGGATAGAGTAATATGAAATTGGGGAACCCAATACAGGCACACCCGTTTGAAGAGACTAGGTTACTAAGTAAGATGTTTAATATAACTGGAAATTTAGTATCAATAATTTTAAGGCCTAGTAACAATAAGGTGTATTTTAAATTTTAAAATACACTCACACACCTACTTGCTGACTTGAACACTCAACCTTCTACTTTTACATTTTTAAGTGATATTCAAATATATATAACCAAATACAATTAATTGGAGTGTTGACCAATGGCTCTAATGGTATATTCATTGCTTTCCAAAATGGATGATGAAGGTACAAGTCCCCAAAGGGATAAATAGGTGATGTGAATTTCTTGCCAATAAAAAAAATTGAAATGCTGACACATCCCCTCTCAACGAATTGTTTGCACCCAAAAGGAATAAAAGTAAGGATTAAAATCACAAAACTCCCCTGTACTTTCAAAATTATGCATAAACCCCAGTAGAATTAAAAAATCCCTAAACTAAAAAAAGTTAAAAAGTTGTCCCCATATTGGTGACTGACCCATTAACTTGATTGTGAAATAATAAAATTGACCTTGCTATTTAATGTTAAATTAAAATGCTGACAATAAATTTTGAAAATTATTTTTGTAATTTTAAAATAGCAATGTCAAGTTTGTAATTTAAGTTAAATAATAATTTTGTAATTTTAAACAATTTTGTAATCTAACATTATTTCATGGTCTTTTATTATTTTTGTAATTTTAAAATAATAATTTTCAGCATTTTAATATAACATTATATAATAAGAATAATTTTGTCATTTCACAATGAAATTAACGGGTTGGTCACGGATATGGGGCATGTGGGCAACTTGATAACTTTTTTTTTTTTTAATTTAGGCAATTTTTTAATTCTACTAGAGATTTTATGCACAATTTTGTGGTTTTGTGATTTCAACAGTAATAGTAATTTCAATTGAAAAACAATTTTGTTATTTAATTTAAAAAACAAGTTAATGTACAAAACTAAAGTTTGGATATCATTTTCTTACTTTTAATACATACATATGGATACTGAAAGTATAGTATTATATTCATTCAATTAATAGTCCATAATAATTAGCCTTAAATTGATAATTTTACAACATAATATTTTTTTACAACATATTCATGAACATGTAATAATATTATGGATTATTATTGTTATCCTTATTGTTGTTATCAACATTGTTATTATTATACTAATGGGTTGTTGGTCTAGTGGTATCAGTCTCTTACTTTTCAAAGTGTGTGTCTTACTTGGAGGTTAGGAATTCAAGTTCTAGAGACATGTGTGTGTAAGTACCGACTATGAATATATATATATATATATATATATATATATAGAAAAAATAAAAATATAGAAAGAGAAAAGAAAGGAGAGGAGGAGAGATAAAGAAGTAGGTGGGTCAAGTATGCTAGGAATGTGAATGGTCCTTGGTGGGTCTGGTTTTAATCCAAACCGTTACTTTTTATTGATCCCTTTTTTACGAGTAATATGGTGTGGGTGGGGTAGATTTAGTGTATATCTTCGATTCCGCCACTTGTGGATGCTAAAGTTATATCAACTGTGATTGCTGTGGGCCACCCCATCCAAGAGTTGTGTCAGTTTTCCTCTTCTTTTTCCTTTTTCCTGATACCGATGTGTGGTCCTGGTCCTCTCCATACTGCTTTCCATGTCCCACCACGCACATATTTAATAGGGTTAAGCGCGTTAAAACCCCCCATCAACCATGACCAAATTGCACAAAATCCCCTGAACTAAAAAATACCCCTAAACTATAAGAGTGTTGCAATTTACCCCACACCGTTAAACAACCGTTAAGTAAGAAATGAAATTACCATTTTGTCCATTAATTAAACTACTCCTTTCATTACTTTGAGTGTTGATGTGGCACTTGTAATCCCTGTATCAAATGAAAATTTGACAAGTCATCCTATCTAAATCAATAATTTGGCTGACCGGACAAAAAATAATTCCCTCCAATTAAAGGATGACAACTCAATTACTAATTTAAATGTATTAAAAATACTTGTTTATATATATATATATAACAAATTTTCTTCTTGCTTCTTCCCCATCCATGGACGCCATCACCGCCATCTCCCATGGCACCACTTAAAATGAAAATTAAACACATTTATCAACAGATCCAACCCAATTGAAGAACACCCATATCATTAACAACTTCAATCAACTCAAAAATTCAAGCTTTGTACTATTATAACATGATTGGAAAAGCAATTAAGGTAAGGGCATATTGAATACCAACCAAGATCAACCAAAATAGAGAGAGATCCCAGAAAGAGAGAGAGTAGAGAGAGAAAGTGATTCAAATAAGCAATGACGAGGAACAAAGAAGAGGAGCAAAGAACGGAGATATACAAGAAGAGTGGAGGTTTAAGAGAGGACTATATATGTATATTGTAGTAGCTCTCTCTGTGTACAATCATTCAAATTCAAATCAGAGACGATATTGCAAATTCACTTACGCCTCTGCCTTCATTGACACCGTTGACGAATTGGTCGCCGTCATTTGTGACAGGACTCCCGTGGCCGCTGAAAAAGCCCGTCGCCTGCTGCCTCGGCCGCGTCAATGATCTGCTCCAACTAGCGATGTTTCGGCTTGAAGACGACTTTCAGATAATTGACTGATTTTTCACCTCTTCATCGTTCTTGTCATCGTCGGAGTTGGAGGTCAAAAACTGAAATAAAAAAAAGGAGATAGATTGGAGAGAGAGGGAGTGGCGGCAGCCATATATGGTGGAGCTGGAGGTGGTTCTGAGGGAAGAAGCATCTTTGTGGGGAAGGGAGAGAGGTGGTGGCGGCGCCATGGACGGTCAGTGGTGGTGTTGGCCATGGACAAATGGTAAAGGTAGTTGGAGAGAGAAAGGACGGCAGATGCAAGCGTTATATATATATATATATATAAATAAATGGAAATGGAAGAGAGTAATGTATATATACATTATTTCTATATAATATTTATTTAATAGTTATAAGGTTATTTTTGCCATTCTAAAATTTTGCTTAATCACGTCTATGTCACGTGCTTCCTGGGCGTTAAATTTTGGACGGTAACTAACAGTTTGCAACTAATAGAATAGTTTGGGGGGTTAAATGTCTTTTTGATAGTTCAGGGGGGTTTTCTGAGAGGGGGAAGAAAGTCTAGGGGGTTTAATGCACTTAACCCTATTTAATATGCAACCTCATTATTGAAAATAACATTTCAACTACTTGAAATAAACACTGAGGTCTCCGTTCTCCTTTGGCTTGTTGAAAAAAAAAAGAAAATGAAAAAAGGAAAAAAATTAAGGTCTCTGTTCTCCTTTGGCTTGTTGAAAAAATAAAGAAAAAGAAACAAGAAAAAAAAAAAAGAAGAAATGTCTCTGTTCTCATGAATATAAATGGACAAATATTAGCTAACACATAGGCTCTTATTTATTGTCTTTATATAAACAGCATTATCATGTCATTTTGCCCTTTCTTTTAGTAAAATAAATATGCAAATTCTAAAATATGATTTTATATTCTGGTAAAAGTGGTGACGGACCACCGGCTCAAATAGCTCAAGTGGTATGAGCTCTCCTCCCCAAAGGAGAGATGAGCAGTTGGAGCCCTACATGAGACACTGCGCGTGCCTCATTTGTTGCTTGCCTATACAAAAAAGAAAAAAAATTGGAAAAAAAGAAAAGAAAAAGAGTGGTGTTGTTTAAACTTTAACTTCTTTGCAAATGTTTATAAATATATAAAAATTCTTCTGCACCTGCTCGAATGGCAACTATACAATTTATACCTTTGAGGGTTTCTAGTTGGAACTATAATTGCTAGTCTCATTGAATGGATCGTTTATTCATTCCATTCCCTCCCTCCCCACTCAAATAATGTTGGGAGTGTTCTCTTGCTGTGCTTTATTTTACTTATTATTCCTGTGCGCTAGTGTTTACTTAAAATCGACTTAAAATCAACAGAAGTTTTGAAAGAGTGAACAAGATCTTTACATACCCTTCTAGCTCTTTTTACACTATCTAATTAAGAATCCAACTGGTTTATCCGTCTGTGCCGCTCTCAAGTGTAAAAGAAAAAAAATATAAAATAGGACAAGGATTCAGAAACTTTGTATTCTTTTATTTTCCTTAGTTCATCAGCAAACAGTAGGAGAACTAAGGCATTTCTGTACTGTAAGGGAAAATATGTTTCCTCCAAAATCACGGATCAAACTAACTTTAGTATTTCTGTTTTTCCTTCTTTTACAGATATGTACTTGTATACTTCTCAATCTTGTATCTCCGCTATCATGCTGGCATTGTTACTGATGAAATGCTTTCCTTGCCAAAAGCTCCATATCTTGCTGTTGGTCTCTTGGAGGCTCTTGGTGCTGCTTCCGGAATGGCAGCTGGGGGTAACCATATCTCTTTCTTTCCATTTGCTCCACTGGTCTATACGTACTTTTTAATAAACAAATATAGGCATATGCATGTGTATGTTACTATATATATTTTTCACTTATCAAAAAAAAAATGTTAGTATATATATATTTTCACTTTCAAATGTTTGTTTATGTATCTTTTTGTACTATTTTAGTATTCTATACTTTCCTGGTTTAAGAAAACCTTTGTTTTGTAGGAAATCTCAGCTTGTTTAGTGTAGTATTAATGATCTTGTCAAATTTTCTTCCCCCAATCAGGGAATTTGGCATCTTAATATGAGATAACCAACATAGTTGTGAAAGTACATATATCTTTTTTGATTTAAATAGTTAAAATCAAGGTTGTCAGGTCGAGGATTCTACGTTAGATCGAAGGAGGGTCCATAGGATAGGATCGTAGGATCAGATCAAAGATCATAATATTCTATAAAACTAAATACAAAAATGACTTGAACTAACTTTCTAAAAAAGCAATTTTCAGAGTAAAAGAAGGAAAAACAGAAATACTAAAGTTAGTTTGATCCGTGATTTTGGAGGAAACATATTTTCCCTTACAGTACAGAAATGCCTTAGTTCTCCTACTGTTTGCTGATGAACTAAGGAAAATAAAAGAATACAAAGTTTCTGAATCCTTGTCCTATTTTATATTTTTTTTCTTTTACACTTGAGAGCGGCACAGACGGATAAACCAGTTGGATTCTTAATTAGATAGTGTAAAAAGAGCTAGAAGGGTATGTAAAGATCTTGTTCACTCTTTCAAAACTTCTGTTGATTTTAAGTCGATTTTAAGTAAACACTCGCGCACAGGAATAATAAGTAAAATAAAGCACAGCAAGAGAACACTCCCAACATTATTTGAGTGGGGAGGGAGGGAATGGAATGAATAAACGATCCATTCAATGAGACTAGCAATTATAGTTCCAACTAGAAACCCTCAAAGGTATAAATTGTATAGTTGCCATTCGAGCAGGTGCAGAAGAATTTTTATATATTTATAAACATTTGCAAAGAAGTTAAAGTTTAAACAACACCACTCTTTTTCTTTTCTTTTTTTCCAATTTTTTTTCTTTTTTGTATAGGCAAGCAACAAATGAGGCACGCGCAGTGTCTCATGTAGGGCTCCAACTGCTCATCTCTCCTTTGGGGAGGAGAGCTCATACCACTTGAGCTATTTGAGCCGGTGGTCCGTCACCACTTTTACCAGAATATAAAATCATATTTTAGAATTTGCATATTTATTTTACTAAAAGAAAGGGCAAAATGACATGATAATGCTGTTTATATAAAGACAATAAATAAGAGCCTATGTGTTAGCTAATATTTGTCCATTTATATTCATGAGAACAGAGACATTTTTTCTTCTTTTTTTTCTTGTTTCTTTTTCTTTATTTTTTCAACAAGCCAAAGGAGAACAGAGACCTTAATTTTTTTCCTTTTTTCATTTTCTTTTTTTTTTCAACAAGCCAAAGGAGAACGGAGACCTCAGTGTTTATTTCAAGTAGTTGAAATGTTATTTTCAATAATGAGGTTGCATATTAAATAGGGTTTAGTGCATTAAACCCCCTAGACTTTCTTCCCTCTCTCAGAAAACCCCCCTGAACTATCAAAAAGACATTTAACCCCCCAAACTATTCTATTAATTGCAAACTGTTAGTTACCGTCCAAAATTTAACGCCCAGGAAGCACGTGACATAGACGTGATTAAGCAAAATTTTAGAATGGCAAAAATAACCTTATAACTATTAAATAAATATTATATAGAAATAATGTATATATACATTACTCTCTTCCATTTCCATTTATTTATATATATATATATATATAACGCTTGCATCTGCCGTCCTTTCTCTCTCCAACTACCTTTACCATTTGTCCATGGCCAACACCACCACTGACCGTCCATGGCGCCGCCACCACCTCTCTCCCTTCCCCACAAAGATGCTTCTTCCCTCAGAACCACCTCCAGCTCCACCATATATGGCTGCCGCCACTCCCTCTCTCTCCAATCTATCTCCTTTTTTTTATTTCAGTTTTTGACCTCCAACTCCGACGATGACAAGAACGATGAAGAGGTGAAAAATCAGTCAATTATCTGAAAGTCGTCTTCAAGCCGAAACATCGCTAGTTGGAGCAGATCATTGACGCGGCCGAGGCAGCAGGCGACGGGCTTTTTCAGCGGCCACGGGAGTCCTGTCACAAATGACGGCGACCAATTCGTCAACGGTGTCAATGAAGGCAGAGGCGTAAGTGAATTTGCAATATCGTCTCTGATTTGAATTTGAATGATTGTACACAGAGAGAGCTACTACAATATACATATATAGTCCTCTCTTAAACCTCCACTCTTCTTGTATATCTCCGTTCTTTGTTCCTCTTCTTTGTTCCTCGTCATTGCTTATTTGAATCACTTTCTCTCTCTACTCTCTCTCTTTCTGGGATCTCTCTCTATTTTGGTTGATCTTGGTTGGTATTCAATATGCCCTTACCTTAATTGCTTTTCCAATCATGTTATAATAGTACAAAGCTTGAATTTTTGAGTTGATTGAAGTTGTTAATGATATGGGTGTTCTTCAATTGGGTTGGATCTGTTGATAAATGTGTTTAATTTTCATTTTAAGTGGTGCCATGGGAGATGGCGGTGATGGCGTCCATGGATGGGGAAGAAGCAAGAAGAAAATTTGTTATATATATATATATAAACAAGTATTTTACTTATCAAAAAATATATATATATATATATATATATATATATATATATATATATATATATATAAACAAGTATTTTTAATACATTTAAATTAGTAATTGAGTTGTCATCCTTTAATTGGAGGGAATTATTTTTTGTCCGGTCAGCCAAATTATTGATTTAGATAGGATGACTTGTCAAATTTTGATTTGATACAGGGATTACAAGTGCCACATCAACACTCAAAGTAATGAAAGGAGTAGTTTAATTAATGGACAAAATGGTAATTTCATTTCTTACTTAACGGTTGTTTAACGGTGTGGGGTAAATTGCAACACTCTTATAGTTTAGGGGTATTTTTTAGTTCAGGGGATTTTGTGCAATTTGGTCATGGTTGATGGGGGGTTTTAACGCGCTTAGAGAGAGTAAGACACATGACAAACACATGAAGTCAATTTTTTGATTTCCTCTATGCAATAACGTCAACATAACAGTCAAGCAGAATTTCATGGAAGCAATTAAGACAAAACCTAAACAAAGAGAAAAAAAGGGGGAGAGAAATTAAGAGAAAAAAGAACATTTTAGTTGTCTAATTATCTGAGCAATTTTGTTGGAAAGACTATTTTTTGGTTAAGAAGAAGAACAACACAGAGAGAGAAAGAACAGGGGGAAACACAAAGGCTCTCTTCTTTGTCCAAATGGGTAAATAATAGGTGGGGAACCTGAGCTCTCTTTGTTTTTCGCTTTGAAAAAGAAAGGAAAAAAGAAAAATCAAGAAGAATAGAGCAAAATGGAAGTTATACCTTTTAAGTTTAGAGTTGGATCTTGTCTACCTTTGAAGTTGGGTGTCTAGCTTTTTTTTATTTTTTTTTATTTTTTTAATGTAATTAGGCTTAGGTGTTGGACTTTATACTTAAAAACCTTATTTCTTTGCCAAGAAAGAGTTATAAGCCCAAATAAATCCAGAATAAGAACAAAACAACATGATTTAGTAGGATCGTATCGTATAATCGTACAAGATTCTACGATCCTCATTCCAATCCTACTGTGATCCTGCTTCCAAGCGATTCTTCATGCGATCTGGATCGATTTAGCAATTTCAGATCATGATTTTAGCAACCATGTGAAAATAATTTATTTATTTTTATTGATAACCAGTTTTAATTGGAGAGAAAAGTTCCATATACCACTAAATACTTATTGATGGTCAATCGGTACCTAAAAGCCATAAAGAAGGGGAGATAATGTTGCCCACAAAATAGTAGCATGATGGATGACGTGGACAAGTTTATCACTGGATACTTGCCAAAGTTAAATGGAATTTATTAGAAGATGAACATGTGGTCAAACGTGCTTAGTGGCATCGAATGTTGGGAATTAACAAACAAAATGCTTAAAGCAAAAGTGTAGCAAAATTCGAAATCTTATGATGGGTCAGTTGCAACTTAAGAAGTAATTGAATAATGTTAATAAAGGAATAAATCTGTGATAAATTTTGAAGTGGAACTGGTTGAAGATAAGATGGAAAATGTGAATAACTAGTTAAAGCACCGTAACAACATGGTAAGTTGATCCAAGGTCAAGATGCAAAATGGACAAGAGGAAGATGTTGTAAGTGAGATTGTTATTATCGTAGATTTAGCAGATATAGGCTCTACATTGAGTTGATTAGTAGACGCTAATGTGCCGGCCCCAAATATATAGTTGGTATTATGGGTTTGTTAAGAATTGTGGGCGGCTGTTAATTAATTGTCATTGAGGTAAAACGTGCTTTGTGGTCAAACATGCTTTGTGGCATCGAATGTTGGGAATTAACAAACAAAATACTCAAAGCAAAAGTGTAGCAAAAATCGAAATCTTATGATGGATCAGTTGCAACTTAAGAAGTAATTGAATAATGATAATAAAGGAATAAATCTGTGAGAAATTTTGAAGTGGAACTGGTTGAAGATAAGATGGAAAATGTGAATAACTAGTTAAAGCTCCGTAACAACATGGTAAGTTGATCCAAGGTCAAGTTGCAAAAAGGACAAGAGGAAGATGTTGCAAGTGAGATTGTTATTATCGTAGATTTAGCAGAGATAGGCTCTACATTGAGTTGAGTAGTCGACGCTAATGTGCCGGCCCCAAATATATGGTTGGTATTATGGGTTTGTTAAGAATTGTGGGCGGCTGTTAATTAATTGTCATTGAGGTAATGATCATAAATAGATTTTACAGTGGATATGGCTTTACATAGGGTTGAGTGCCCCAAGTAGTTGAGAACTTGGGATTAAGGAATTGTTAGGTGTTACGTTTAAATAATTTTTTGAAGTTTTTTGCTTTGTAGGCCTTATTCTTCAAATGTGAAAAGTTATTTTCTACTAATTCCGCTTTATCAATCTGCCTATCTGAAAATCTAATTCCTGGCTCTTCATTATTGAGTCCATCCTGCAAAATTATGTAGCTCTATATTTGAAGACCACCATATTCATTAATGTGTGTGTTTTTTTTTTTTTTTTTTTCAGAAAAAAAATTAACATTTACTTTTTTTGTCAGCACCATGTATTTAGGATTTAGCGCTATAACGATTTTAAAAACTGCATTTTAACTGAGATTTTTTGTGTGAAAGCTTCAACAACAATTGGTTTTTATGTTACACATCTTTTTCTTTCTTCTTTTTCAATTTCAATTTTGTCTATAGGAGTTCAACCATAACCTAATACATAAATTTTGTTATTCTCTTCATGACAGCAATGCTTTCCGGGGCAGCAATTCCCATTTTGTCACAGGTAACAGCTTTCATTGAGTTATTTTTATTATTTTCTCTCTTTTATTATGCACCTCTCATCTTTCGTCCGAAAAACCCCTTGTTTTATTAGTGTAGTCATTGTATTGTGCCTGAGAACGGTGTCCCAAAATTCAGACCATTTGTCGAACTGCCAAGTAATTTCTAGTTGATTAATCAATTATCGAATTAGACTACCAGCCAATATAGTTGACATAAAAGTATAATCTCTCTTAATATAATCGAGTAAATGCATCCAACAAATTATATCTTTAAATATATATGTTTTGAATTATAAGTAGATCCTTTTGTAAAATAAGTATTTTAAGCGCAAAAAGGATAAACTCCACTGAAAGTATTATATATTGGCATTTCTGATTGGGTGACTATCGCTTCAGTGTCATCTGGCCTGGCTGGTTTTATTATACCACAGGAGTAGAGTGATAACCTGGCAGGCTGAAGTCTAGTCTGATTGAAAGACCTTTCAATATGGTTTATCCAAAAACTAGTGAATCATTACTCCCTCTATCCCAAAATTCTTGGGGTGTTTAGGGAATCCAACTATTTATGGTAGTGGGTTTTAATATTTTTTTATTGTATTGATAAGAGTGAAAATCCAAATTTATCCTTGTTAAAAGACAAAGGAGTACTCTGTAATTAGTACATTTGTTTAATCAAGTCAATATCAAAAGGTTAGTTTGGGGAATGTTATAAAAAATAGTACATCCATTTTTAGATGAAACATGTATTTTGGTAAATCCCAAAATAGAAAGAAGGACAAGAATTTTGGGACGGAGGGAATACTAATCACTAGTTTGATCCTCTATACATATCAGACCACGTCTATTATTGATGTATCCTCTCATACATTATGGACTTGGGCCATCTGACAACATTTTTCTTCTAAATAGCTGCTATAAAATCGAAGACTTGATTTTTTATCTGATTTTCTTTTGCAGAGCTTTCTTGTGTGGCAACTTGTCCTATCATTTATTTTCCTTGGGAGGAGATATAGATTCAATCAGTTAGTTGGGTGCTTTCTTGTGGCCATTGGTGTAATAATAACTGTAGCAAGGTAAGTAATGTGGATCCTTAAATATAGATCTAAATCTAAGTTTTACTTGTAGATCATATTAATTCAACTGAAACAATCTTTTCCTCCAAAGATCATGTAGCTTAAATACGTATAGGACCTAAAAGAGAACTAAAGCCTTTAAGGCAGTTCATTTTAAGCTTGAAAGCTGAAAAGCTTGTTTGCTTCACTCCCATGTGCTGTTTGCCCAGGAGAGGTTGATCTTAGTCCAGTAAAATATGAAGCAATATTGGTTTTTTTTTTTTTTCTTCCCACAGGTTCTCTTCAAAAATTTTCAATGAAGTCCGTGGGTTGATGTGCTTATCTTGACTTAATGCCTCTTGTTCTTATAGAAGTCTTTATGTTTGACCTCATGTCATTCGCTTTGGAGTTCTTTCTCCTCTTGACTTTAATATCTTTGAGCTTTAGCATGTCTTCTTTAAGTGTTGGATCCGATCCTTCTTGGCCTTTGCCATTGATCCATGAGCTCATCTTGAGTTTTCTTTTACCTATGGCCTACGTAGCACAAACTCAAGTACATATTAAATTCTAACGCCTTTAATGATTTGTTATTATCATAATGTTTCAATTACCCTTGGGTATGAAACCTTTAAGTCAACACTCTTTGTTCTGGCCCTCTGGCGGTAGGCCAACCACCATAGGTAATGACTACTCTCCATCTAGTTGGATAATTGCCCATAATTTTTTAGTTGAGGACAAAAAAAGAGGAATAGTGAGATTTTTATAGAAAGTTATGTAGTTGTGAATATTCAAATTCTTAAACAAACTTTTACTTTAGTTGAGAATTTTCATGTGTTTATTTGATTTATCTTGTAAATGAAATACTTTTTGACTCTGGCTATGGCCTTAAATAGAGTGGAATGGAAACACAGGATTCATGTAACCGACCCCAAGTAGTTGGGAAAGGCTTGATTGTTGTTGTTGTAAATGAAATACTTTAACCTTTTTCAACTATGCAAATTACATACTGCAATCAGTCTTTGTAAGAACAAGTTGTTTCTCCTATATTTTTATTAAAATCCTTGTAAAGTAATCCTTATATCAGATTCAATAAGTCTCTGGGAATTACAATTCTATGATCATTTGATAATATGAAATAATTAAGTGGAATACTTATTTATGTTTGCTCTGCAGTGGATCTAGTGCTGGTTCATTGATGGAAACTGGTATATTTTGGAGTCTCTTGATGTTAGTTTCTTTTTTGTTTCAAGCCGCTGACACAGTATTAAAGGTTGTAGCTTCTTAATGCATATTAAACTTTCTCCATGTTTCAGTTTTGTATTTCTTTTTCTCTTACAGACTGCATTGTTTTCTGTAGGAAATAATTTTCTTGAATGCTGCCAAGCGATTGAAGGTATGTCTACTGGTGGACTGATTCTAATGCTTCTAGACTCCAAGTAATGTGCTGACTTCCGAAGGGCACACTATCGATGATAGGATGCTGCAAGTGAATTAAAATATTAAAATTTTATTCCATTTAAAAGCACAATCACAGATCTGATTGGACTATATAAAAGTTAATTTCTTTTCCTCAATTTAAGATCTGATGATAAAGATTATGATAATTTGATTGCATTCAATTACAGGGAGGTTCAGTGGATCTCTTTGTTGTGAATTCTTATGGATCTGCTTTCCAAGTAAGTTCCTTCAGCCTTCAGTATATTAACAGTTTTAATTCTTAGTGTCATGTAAAATAATAGCTCATTTATTTGTATTGTCTTTTCTGTTGTAAATTGCAAAGGAAGCCTGAAGATGTTATTTTTTTTCAGGCACTTTTTATATGCCTCCTCCTACCATTCTTGTCAAAGCTATGGGGTATACCATTTAGTCAACTTCCAAACTATCTTAAAGATGGTGCAGCCTGCTTTCTCAACAATGGCACTATAACTGGTAATTAATAATTTGTTCATTATTCATCTTCTTTTGTTTAGGAATTAAATTATTTTATCTATACTTAACAACCTATCAAGAACTACTGAAAAATTATGGTATGACTAGCACAAAACAGATCTTGTTGAGCATCTGTACTTATTTCTTTTCTTATTCACTAGTCTTCTAGAAACACTTTGATGAAAGAATTGTTTTGAAAGCTTTGAATATGCAGAAGATCAAATATAAGTGCTACCATTTGAAGTACGTTAGAATCTTCAAAATTTGGTATTTAACCTACTTTCAGTACTGAAGGAAATTACTTCAGGAAATAGTTTCAAAAAATTTCAGAACTGATGCTCTAAAACACATAAAATTTGGTATTTTGTTGTGAACATATTGCATTACACACAACGTGAAGGTTGCCTTTTTTTTTTCTTCATTTTTTCGTCGACACTGATGTCTTTTTAAATTGTCTATAAATACCTGTCTTTTTAAATTGTCTATAAATACCTCATATAGCCCATATTGTTTGTTACTTTAATAACTATAGCATAGCACCCTGATTTATCACATCTCACATAGTGTTATTGTTGTACTCTTTTCCTGCTCATTGTTTCAATGAAACAAATTGAGCCTCGAATAAAATCAAGGAAAGGAGTGCTTCGTGCTGTTGGATGGTGTATGCCTTATAATGATAATATTATTATGTTATCCTATGGAAATAATAACACAAATGTAGAGGTTGTATGTAGAACTTCCTTGTTGGCAATCAACATCACATAAAAATAAAAGGCATTTTTCCTCTCGACAAGGCATACATCCTCTTGTAATGCAAAAATGATAGTAGTAGTGAGTTCTTTAAATCTATTTACCTACCTTTGTTTTATAGTTAATATATACACCATTTTTAAGGTAACATTTCACCTAAGAGAATCTTCCAGTAATATATTTCGAAATTCCAAGCATGAGAAAGCGGGTTAGAGTTTGAGACTAGTCTCTTTATGAAAATAATGTCAAATGTTAGGTATGTATCTGTTTTACCTCTTTTAGGATCTGCATTAATGTGGCCAACACGAGGTAATGGCCCTATATCTCTAGAAATAATAGAAATAGCTTTCTTCAAATTGATGTTATAAAATGCTATTTATGTCAGATTATGATCGTTTTGTTCTTTGCTTACTGTGCATTTTAAGGTCACGAGAACATAGATTTAGTTTGTATTGTACTCTTGCAAGGAAATTATGTAACTCTGAATTTATTGAAATTGCAAAACTAGCAATGACTATATTACATCTTGCAAGTTGGGACAAAATTTTATTTTGTAAACTTTTGGGGATAATTTGTTCCCCGTCACACATTTCAACTGTTAATTCCAATATCCTTATATTGCTTACAAAATTGAGGTGTATTCTGGACAAATGGGGAAAAATGCATGAAGTTGTGTTGCATGACAATAACATAAAATGCTTTGAGTGATGACCTTAAATCCATAAAATAATCTTATGCGAGTAAGATGTGACAAAATGGCAGGTAAGGATTCATTTAGCCCTAGTCCAACTTGCTAAATTTTGTTGGATATTATCTTCTTTAGTGGATCAGATTTTAATAATACCTTGCACCCATCCAAATCGACCATACCACCTTTGGCCATTCCAACTGTAGACTGAAAAGATACTGTGGGGCCCAAAATAGATCTAGAGGGGGTGAATAGATTTGTCCAATTTTAACTAACACTAACTGATTTATATATCATATCATATTTAATCATAGCAATGCGAATCGGTCTAGTATATAGCGTGGAAATAAATAAAATAATGCAATCATATAAGAACACAAGATTTTTATGTGAAAAACCCCAATGGTGAAATTCCACGGGACCTAGTCCAGGAAAACTCAATCTAGTATGAGAAAGAAGATTACAACTAGGTTATAGTTCCCCAAACCCAAGAACCTGTAGTTACCTCCTTGACTCAGATCGATCCACCAAAATCTTCTCAAGCCTCCAGGCGCATGACCCACTCATCAGCAGACTTTGCTCCTCAAGAATCTGTTTCTCCACCAGTGATTCTGTCTCGACCACTAGTCATCCAAGTTGGGTATTTGTTGTGTAGGAACACTTTGGTGTTGATGATAATGTAAGCTCTGCAAGATGATGATCAAAATTATGAATAATAATTCACCATCTAATGCAACGTGCTAATGATGAAAACAAAAATAGGCTAAATATATTTTCTCTCAATCAATCTCTCAGTAATATGTATAAACTAATTGTTTCTTAAAGCTAACGTTTTTTGAGACAAAGAATTCACCTTATGATAAACGTTAGTATTCTTAAACTTGTTTTTCTCATCTTTTATATTTATCAAGTTTTCAGTTTTATGTCAAATTTCACTTCTTTGTTGAAAACAGAAAAAATTATTGTGACCCTTTTTACAATATGAGCAATGATAAGTTTTAGGATACTTGGGAGAATCAGAAATACTAGGGACTCCTTTTACGTTTTCAATCCTAGTATTAGAGGTAGAGGGTGTATCAAATTTATCAACAAAACTTAAACCACTCTTATCTACTACAAGTTTATTCGTCCCTAATAGTTTATCTAATTTTTCTATTACACTAGTGAACTTTTGAATAGTCTCTTTTGATTGTTCTAAATCAAGTACAAGTTTTTCAATTTTAAATTTTAGAAACTTTTTAAAAACTACAATGTCATCAAGTTCAGTATCTAAAAGCTTCACTTCGTCTAAAAGAGGGTTTTTTTAAAAAAAAATATTTAATTGTTCAAGAGATAGAGCTTTTTCTAATTCAAGTTCGAATTCATTTTGTTCTAGTTCAATATCTTTATGTTCTTCAATTTCTAACTTGAAAATATCACGTTCATGCTCTATGCTTCTAAGTTCTTCAACTCTAAATTTAAGTTCATCTTGCCCTTTTTCAACAATTTTGAATTTTGCATTCGATTTTTTAATTTTAAAAATTTTTCTTTTTATCCTTATGCAAATCAAAAAATAAGTTTTGTATCTCACTATTATTAAATTCTGAATCACTGTTACATCTACAATTAATAGTTAAGAATTTACTAAATTTTGAACTAACAGACTATTGAGTATTGCTGATGTCAATGCCCTCAAGAACATTTTTTGGATCATATAGCTGCCTTGATTTGAAACGGGGCAGTGGTTTAGTTGGTGAATGAGATGGATTGATGGCTGAGGTGTTTTTCCTTGGTGTAACTGGTTTTGGAGGTGGTAGAGGTGGTTTTGGTGGGAGTGGAGGCTTGGATGGATGAACTCTGATGGTTTTGTTCTGGGTTTTGTTTGCATGGTTCTGGTCAAGTGTTGTGGATCTCTTGAGAATTGATATGGAGGATGATTTGGTAGGAATGGTGGTTTGAGGTGGTTTGGGAGGAGGCTGTGGGGGGAGGTTTTCATTGAGATTGTACCTCACATGAACTAAAAGACTATTGCCAAAACTAATAGGGAGAAGTATGAGTCAGAGTGTCAGACATAGAACATGCAGCTTCATCAATAAAAGTGTTGAGATTAAAAAGTTCTAAATTAGATTTTTTAATTTATTTTATAGTCCATATTTTTAATTCACGAAAAATTTAAAAGGGTACTCTTTCAGCCAAGCCACTGTCTCAGATGAGTCTTTCTTGGACATGGAAATGAAAAGGGTACTCTTTCAGCCAAGCAACTTTGTTATTACTTTGAATTACAAAATGTTAAAGATCTTACCCAATATGAAGAATTGTGAATTTTTTTAAGAATTTCCTGTGTAGGAATATCACTAATGATATTGATTCAAAACTACTCTATGATAAGAAAGAAGCCCGTTCTTCAAGTTATTGTTCCAAAGTCTCATATCTCATTCGAATATCCAGAGTTTACCCTTCTGTTGTACTCTCTTGACTTTTCTGCCATTGCAGCATTGCACAATAAGTTTATCATATAATTTCTTTAGTGTTGGTTCTGCACAGGATGTGATGGAGCGCCACTACTACCATTGTTGTTCGTTATTGTCAACATGGGTTTCAACATATCGTTGCTACATCTGATCAAGATCTCTTCTGCGGTGGTCTCTTGTCTTGCATCCACAGTTTCAGGTATGTCATTCATGCTACTGAAGTAACAATAATACGATGGTCGTTGACTTTACCTCTTACTGCCCTGCTGAGGATATAAATATCTATGTTACATTCTCTCTAATAGGTTAAGCTTTTAGAGTAGATGGTGGTGAACATGGTATTGAACATGGCATTAGGCCAAGAGGTTTTGAGATCAAGCATCACCATTACCCTGACAATTAAAATTGAAACATGTTGTGGATCAAAAGAAGGCCACACATGAGGGGGCGTGTTGAGGATATAAATATTTAATTAGCCCTCTCTAATTGCTTAAACTTTTAGAGTAGATGTTTGTTAACAAAAAAGATGAACAAAGGCGAACCAAGATTGTTGCTTGGTGACTTTGGAGAGCGTTCCAAAACCCATATAGTACTCTTGTCAAACAGTTAGGTGTTCAACAATGATGTTACTTGTAATGGTGCCAATTAGCCGGGGTCAGGGCTCTAGAGAATTGGCATTGCATTTTCTGCATATGCTGACCCTGGACCCTATCAAATGTGATATCTGTGTCACAAGCTAAGCTAGTAAAAATCCTAGTAAAATATTTATATATATCAAGCTAACCCAATGTCAAGTTGGTTAACGTTCATCCCATGAGAGTTTGTCTAACACAATCAGTACAAGAAATGCATCTTCTTTGCCAACTGAGGTACTTCTATGCCAGCCGGGTTTAACGGTAAATAACTTACATACCCACTTCACCTTATGGGGGCTTGAATCGTAAACTTTTTACTTTAGGAGGCAGAGGAATACCACTGGGCTATAACAAGGGTGGTAAGTTTGGCTGGGTTGATTGAGCCTGGTGTCATCATCTCTAAGGCTGACTTGCTCAATTATTGGGCCAATTAGGATAGCTAATCTTATTCATTCTTTTAAATGGTTTAAACAGAGTACAAGACACTTTTACTGTGTGGTGGGTCCTAGAAAATGTCTGTTGATAATAGAGTTAGAAGAAAATCAGCTAATTCTATTTTCCCGAGAAAAAGAAATAGCTAATTCTTTATTTTGCAACTAATTCAGCTAATTCTTTATTTTTCCTCAATCGACCATCAATACTTTAACTAGCTACTAGCAGGATGCACTAGTGTAAGTTCAAGACATAAACTAAAATTGTCCACCACTATGGCCAAGTCTAACACTCAACGCCAATCAGAACCTGTCATACACAACGACCAACAATCCCTCAACTAAGAAAACGCTTATCTATGAAAGTCACCGATGGACCTCTTAACTTACATTCTTCCTTCTTTTGGCAAGGAGAATTATTTTAACTCAACCTACATTCTTCCTTCGTAAGTTACTAGGAAGTAAATTCAACAGCAGACGTAATACATATAATGAGAAATATGAGAAACCATTAGCAATGAGTACAGATTTAGCACAAACAAGCATTTTAACTGATGATGCAACACAAATCACGACACTCATATTTTGAATCTCACTGAATCTGTGCCTAGCATTATTCTATTGTATGATGGATTTAAATTGACTTGTGATTTTTGCATGGCAGTGCCGGTAGCAGTGTTTTTGTTTACACTGCCGCTACCGTATATTGGCATTGCATCGCCCCTACCACCAGGTTTTGCGGCAGGTGCCGTCATTCTTGTTTTGGGCATGCTTATATATTCTTGGACGCCGTTGGGTCGGTGCCACTAACGTGTCCCCATCATCAGTCGACTAAACAAAAATTCTCAGGATCATGATCGTGATCATCGTTGGTATTATGAAGCTCAATGCGGAGTGCAAACTTGCAATTTTGTCAATTCTTACTGAAGAAGAGGAAGATGAAGAACAAGCAGCAGCCGAAGAATGTTGTTATTGCAATACTTATATTTGCTTCAATAAAATAAGATGGCAAATGTGCAATTCACAATCTGACTTGTAACTTTTGGTTATTATGGAATAAAATGGCCCATTTTCAAATGGGATCTGAATTCATTAACTTGTATCATAATAGAAATTCATGAACTAGTTTTATCATCAAAGTTAGGCTTTGGCTGGAAACCCAATGAAGCTTTTATTAATCATACGGGTTTATATTCCATTCTGTCCAAGGATTATAATCTCAATCAAATTACATGTTATAATCTCTTTTCTTACAATTTCAACGTCCTTTTTCCTCTTTTTAGCGTAATTTTCTTCTGTGGATCAGATCATTTTTTCTTTTTTTTCCTTCTGTCAATAGGACTTTCAGCGGCCCAAACTCTTTAAAAATAAATAAATAAATAAAAATAAAAATAAATAAAAAATTACCCACCAAACTTATAGATCTTATATAGGACATGTATACTGAGACATCCGGAAAACTAGTGACTTTCTTATAAATGTGGGATCACACCAATGATTAGTGTTGAGTCCACACTCCAAACCCAATTGCTATAAATACCAAACGAACGAAAGATATTCTAGAAAATATTATGGTGTATGTTAATTGCAGATGACATAATTTTAATGGATACTTCTAAGGAAGCTTTAGCAACAAAATTTAAAATACGAAAGAAATACATTAGAATTAAGGCCCTAAGAATGAGTAAAACTGTCTCAATTTCAATTCAAACATGAGTTGTTACTAACCCAGCAAAATGTCTCAACAGGCTGCCACCACCACCACCACCACCAGATACCAAACAACAATAATAAACAATAGTATTAAGAAAGAGATTGTTTGAAACCACCTCAACTACATTCAAAAGCCCTCTTTTTATTTACAACATCCCAAAAGAAATTCAAATTTTGATTCACGATCTGCTCTTTCAAATTTATAGAAGAAAATTATACAATTGATAATATTAAATTTACAACCTTTTTTTTGTGTCCTTGCATCTTAATTAGCCGATGAGATATTGACTTCAACAACAACAACAACAATAATAATAATTTACAGTGCAACCTAATATATAATCTTGCTATTAAAAGTGATTTGGCACCATATCACAACTTATAGTTCCACGGACATCAGCAACCTCTGATCTTTTGATAGAGGAGACGACACAGCTTCAACAACCTAAAAAGGTCAAACGATAAACTATGTGAATACAGTCTGACCAGAAACACCAAACAGGAGTTTTGAGATTGCAACAGTCAATTGTATATCGCATACTAATTTGTGTTGTGAACGGAAGTTGAGAAATTTCAACATAGAACAGCCAAGAGATGCCAAACTTCTGGTCCTTGCATTGTAAAAATGCAAGAGAACCCAGAAAATGCATTACTAAAATTAGTTTCGATGGAAAAGTTAATAGTAGCACACATAAATCAGATTTGGAATTGTTCTCCAGAATCAATATCATTTCACGAAACATATTGTATCATCATACACGTACAGATGCCATATACTTTATGCACAACCCAAGTTTAGTATAGGAGTAGGGAAGAGAGAACCTAAGTTTAGCATAATAGGAGTAGGGAAGAGAGAATGATCTAAAATTGATGACTAACTACCAAGAAGAGCAACGATTATTGTTTTCTTTGCTATCTATCTTTAATGGCAGAGAAATTTAAGATTTGACAGTAATAGAACACAATGCAGATGAGAATCACTTCTCGAATGTTATGTGATTAACAAATGCAGTACATTTAATAAAGATGAGAATTCTTCTATAGTGCCATGTGTCTGACTTGTACCTACCAATTAAAGGAAAATTTCAAAAGACAAACCACAATACCATCTACACATTAAAATACACGAGGGTAGGTAGTTTATAAGCTCTATATTTAAAATGAACAGTATGATAAGTGGTTGCTGAAGGACAATCATTACAATATTAAACCCCAGATAAGTCACTGTAAAAGCTAAAGGAAGAATCACAAAAAAAGAGACAATACAAGAGATTTGACAAGGATGGTCTAGCTATGAACTATCACAACAGGTGCCAATGCCAGGATGCTGGGGTAGACAAGGGATTTCGAGGATGTAACGACAAAAGAGGAATATAGTCCATCATTTTTATAAAAAAAAACACTTTGGCCCAGCTGCCAGCTCTTTAACTTGAGTGGTATCTCTTGCCACCTCATAACAGTAAGGTGCAGGGTTAAGTCCTAATTGAGACACTAAAACCCGAGCATACAACCCAACCATGAGCTGGAAAATATCACAAAGCTAAAGCAAATTTTACACTGAAAAACATGCACATACAACCCAACCATAAACAGAAAAAAGATCACAATGCCGAAGCAGGTTTTGCAGCAATGACAACATGTCCATGGAATCAGTGCAAAAAGACTCATGACAGATGAATGCAACAAAACATTATATATATATATATATATATATATATCCTCAGCAGTACCACTGATGAATTCCAACAATTGTAGCTGTCCCTACGGGGTAAAAAACAAAACGATAATGGAACTATAGAAATTAAATGTGAGAATGCCAAAAGCTGGAGAGACCAACAGAAACACCATCAAAGGACCAACCAAACAGAGAAGAAAAACATCACAAAGATGTCTCCTTTGCCACCACTCCAGGACGACCAGACAGATACTAATGCTAAAGTCTACGAATTGTATCTCAAATGCTCCAAAAACATAAAAGGCATGTACTGATGCAAGCTATGCCAAATGAAATTAAAATGAAAAGATTAAAATATCTAGTAATGATTCTGGTGCCAAACCTTAAAGCCCGTTTTCTTGTAAAGTTCTTGTGCAGGGTTGTTTTCTGCATTTACATGAACAAATAGTTCTTTCGTGCCTGACAGCATATCCACAGAGAGAGAGAGAGAGAGAGAGAGAGAGAGAGAGAGAGAGAGAGAAAGAGAGAGAGAGAGAGAGAGAAATGACTGTTAACTAGATAAATAGGCAATACAAAAGCACCAGCACAGAATTTATGTTAAGGTGTTCAAAGCTGAAACATCTTACCTGCTAAGGTGGCAACATCAGTGGCCAAATACAGCATATTTGACGCAATTCCTTGACGCCGAGCAAACTTTGAAACACAGACATTTGCAATATAAGCATACTTATGTGCATCAAAGGGCTCTTGACTTGCCAAGACAGTAGTTGGTCTTTTCACTTCCTGAATATAATGGCTAATTCATAAGCAAGGTTTAACAAACAGCAAACCCATGTGACGAGCACAACTCATAGCATACCATGACCCACCCACCTATTCCCCCACCCCCCCTGTAGTGAAAGAGATGAGCAATAGATCAATTAATTTAGAGGAAAGTCTAGTGTAAGCATGTGAGGCTTCCACTAAGTACCCTTGCTAAAACAAAACCAGAAGAAAATAAAGAGAAATATTTTTAAAGAAAAAGATCGTTAAAAATGTTCCAACTCAAATAATATAAATAAAGGAAAAAGTGTGAGAAGTAGCTGGAACATGCAGCTTCTACAGTGCATCTGTTCAAAATCATATGAAAGAGAGAGAGATTGTATCTTGTATATAACACATTACAGACCTAATAAGCCTATACAGGCTTATATAATGATTACAAGTCTTACTTACTAACACAAGGGCCCTATCAACTTTCTGTAATTACATAATGACCCAACACTTATATATATATAACATTCTAACACTCCCCCTCAAGCTGGAGAATATATATCAAATAATCCCAGCTTGGAACAGATAGTTCTTAACCGGTTATAACCCAATGCTTGGTAAACATATCAGCTAATTGATCTTCAGACTTCACAAATGGAGTAGAGATGCTCCCACTTAATAGTTTTTCTCGAATGAAGTGACAATCAACTTCAATATGTTTGGTCCTCTCATGAAACACAGGATTTGATGCAATGTGAACTGCTGCTTGATTATCACAGAACAATGGAGTAGGAGCTTCAACTGTCAACCCAAGTTCTTTTAGAAAATGTTGTATCCATGTCAACTCACTAGTGGTATGAGCCATTGCCCTATACTCAGCTTCAGCACTAGATCGAGCTACCACCGTTTGCTTTTTACTTCGCCATGTAACTAGATTTCCTCCTACAAATGTGCAGTATCCTGTAGTAGATCTCCTATCTGAAGGAGAACCAGCCCAGTCAGCATTTGTAAAACCTTCCACCCTGAGATGACCATTTAATTTATATAGTAACCCTAAACCTGGAGCTTGCTTGAGATATCGGATAATCCGAAGAACAGCAATCCAATGTGGCATTCTAGGAACTCCCATGAACTGACTTACAACACTAACTGCATATGAAATGTCAGGTCGAGTGATAGTGAGATAAATTAATTTCCCAACAAGGCGACGAAATCTGCCTGAGTCATTAAATAGATCACCCTCATCAGACACAAGTTTTGTATTAGAATCCATAGGAGCATCAACCGGACGACCACCCAACATACCTGTTTCTTCTAATAAGTCCAACACATATTTCCGTTGGGATAAACTTATACCCTTCTTGGATCTAGCAACTGCAATACCCAAGAAATACCTAAGTTTACCCAAGTCTTTAGTGTGGAATCGATATTGCAGAAACAACTTCAACTTAGCAATGCTTTCAGAATCATCACCTGTGATCACAATATCATCTACATACACCACAAGAAATATGAAGCCAGCTTTAGTGCGCTGGTGAAACACCGAATGGTCGGTCTGACATCTGTTAAGACCAAATTGTAACGCCGCCTCAGAGAATTTTCCAAACCAAGCCCGTAGAGACTGTTTCAATCCATACAGGGCCTTTTTAAGGCGACAAACAGTGTGAAGATACTCCCCCTGAGCAACAAACCCAAGTGGTTGCTCCATATAAACCTCTTCTGCTAAGTCACCATGCAAAAAAGCATTTTTAACATCTAACTGAAACAGAGGCCAATGTCGATTAGCAGCAAGAGAAATCAAAACACGAATAGAAGAAATCTTAGCAACGGGGGCAAATGTCTCATCATAGTCAATACCATAAGTCTGGGTATAACCTTTGGCAACAAGACGTGCTTTAAGACGCTTAACAGACCCATCTGGAAGATACTTCACAGTATATACCCAGCGACAACCAACAGGCTTAGCACCCGGAGGTAATGGAACAAGATTCCACGTGCCATTCTTATGCAAAGCATCCATTTCATCTTGCATTGCTTTCCTCCAGCCCGAATCAGACAAAGCATCCTACACAGTCTTAGGAACAAATGTAGTAGACAACTTAGAGGAAAAACATGAGAAAGATGGCGATAAGGAATTATAAGAGACATACTGAGCAATGGGATGTTTAGTAACACACGAGCGAGGAGCTTTACGAAGTGCAATAGGTAAGGAATCAAACACAGTGGAAGGTGCAGGATCCAAAGATTCTGAAGACGATGGAGGAGGCACAACTGCAGATGGCTTTGGTCTTCAAGTGTACACCTGTAACGGGGTAGGCGAAGGAACCAGAGATCGAGGTTGAAGAGAAAGTGAGGGAAGAGGAACTACAGAAAGAGATGACTCAAGAGTGATATCAAGAAGTGAATCAGTATCTGAAAAATATGGGACGGATTCACAAAATGTGACATCCGCGCTAATAAAGTACCGTTGAGAAACAGGACTATAGCAGCGATAACCTTTATGAGAACGAGAGTAGCCAAGAAATACACACTTTGTGGCACGTGGGTCTAGTTTGTCAAAACTAGGACCAAGATTGTGGACATAACATACACATCCAAAAACCCTAGGAGGAAGAGAAAACAAGGGAGAATCAGAAAATAAAATAGAATGTGGAGATTTGCCATCTAATACAGATGACGGCATATGGTTAATAAGATGACAGGCAGTAAGAACAGCATCACCCCAAAACCGTTTAGGCATACGCATATGAAACAAGAGAGCACGAGTTACTTCTAAGAGATGTCGATTCTTACGTTCTGCAACTCCATTTTGTTGAGGAGTATAAACACATGAATTTTGATGAATAATTCCTTTATCACTAAGATATGTATCAAATGGAGTTGAAGAATATCCCTTAGCATTATCAGAACGTAGGATACGAATTGGACATCCAAACTGAGTTTTGATTTCTTTGCGAAATTTTTGAAAAATTAAAAACAACTCAGAACGATCTTTCATTAGAAACAACCAAGTCAGGCGAGAATAATCATCCACAAATGTCACGAAATAATGAAATTTATTGATCGAAGAATGTTTTATTGGGACCCATACATCTGAATGAACCAAATGAAAAGGACTAGAGACACGATTATTAACCCTAGACTTGAAAGACACGCGATGGTGCTTACTAAGTTGACAAACTTCACATGACAAGAATTTCAAATGACTAAAACTAGGAACTTGACACTTCAAAACTTGAAGTGACGGGTGACCAAGTCGACAGTGCCACTAGAATGGAGACAGAGAAGACTGAAGAGCCATAGGATAAGGTTCGAAATCAAAATAATATAAGCCACCAGCTTCATGTCCCGTACCAATCGTCTTCTTCGTCTTGAGATCTTGAAACACACAAGAAGTAGGATCAAATGTAATAGAGCACTGGAGAGATTTAGTAAGCTTACTGATAGACATTAAATTAAAGGGAAAATGCGGAACATGTAAAACGGACAAGAGAGACAATGAATCACCAAGTTGAGTTGTCCCCAAACCTGAAACCTGAGTGGAGGAACCATTAGCAAGAGTAACTCCTTGAGAAGGAGGTACAGAATGAAAATCAGATAGAAGAAAAGAACATCCGGTCATATGATCAGATGCTCCAGTGTCTATGATCCAAGGACTGCGAGTGGAAGACAATAGACATGTGTGTGCAGTACCTGACTGGGCAAAGTTAGCTGTGGAAGATGAATTAGATGCTTGCTTATAAGACAAAAACTGAGTATACTCATCCCGTGGAACAGGGACCGTATCTGATTCAGCCACGTTGTGAGATCCAGAAGCAACATCATTCGGAGAAGAGGAAACTTGATTTGCATAACTAGATGGTTTCCCATGAAGGTCCCAACAAAAGTTCACAGCATGATTAGAAAGACCAAAATCAGTACATTTTCTTAATTCCCTGCCACGGCCACGTCTCCACGGTAAGCATTATGTTCACCCTTGGAAACTACCAATGCTGAACGCTCACTACTCTGTCCAGCATTCAAATTTGATGTATCACTTGCTAGTGTAGCACGTTGAAGGTGAGAAAACACCTCAGCAAGAGAGGGAAGTGTTGGACTGCCCATAATCTGTGCACGAAAAGGCTCATATGCTGATGATAAACCAGTAAGAAAACGGACAACATTAAAGTCCGCACGCTGCTGTTGCATACTACGAACATCAACAGTAATGGGCTGATACATATTCAGCTCTTCATAGACTCCCATAATTTTGGAATAATACTCTTCTATACTTTGAGTACCTTGTTCAAGATTAAAGTACTGCTTACAGAGTTCATAGACACGAGTGATATTACCTGTCCCAGAATACAATTGTTGCAATCTGTCCCATATTTCCTTAGCAGTATCCAAATAAAGTAACGTGGAACTGATTTGGGGTTCAATGTTGTTTATCATCATAGAGAAGATCTGCGCATCTTCCTTTTCCCATGCATCAAAAGAAACATCAATTGCCTTGAGTTTCTCTTTAGTCAGATGAGTACCAAGACCTTTGCCTTTGAGAAAAATGGCAACAGATTTAGCCCACAGTATGTAATTCTTCCCATTGAGTTTAACTGAAGTCATGCGAGAATGAAGACTATTCGTGGGAGAAAGCAAATTTGAACTAGATGCCATGGTGAATCCAGCAAAATAGAGAAGGAAGAAAAAAAAAAAAAAAAGCAGAATCTGTATTCTGGCCGAACCTGGAAAACGGGCCGGATCTGGTCAAACGGGCCAGATCTGGTCAACGGGCCGGATCTGAGCTATCCCAGGTTTAGTAAACCAGGGTTGGAATAGCTATATCCGTGTAGCCAAACATGGGTCTTCTTCTTCACACCTTCACAAACGCCGGTGAACAACGCAGCGGAGACGACGGCAACCCAATCACAATCAACGGCTGAATCAATAAGCAACGATCGCAAACCGAGACTGTAGATGTCGGCGAATCAAAAGGATGAACCTCACCTCTGCAAATCGAGACTATCGATGTCGGCGAGATCGTTGAAGAACAAAAAGGAGCTGTTGGTGACAAAGAACAAGGCAAATACGACGACGACCAAGCTGACGACGACGGTGAACAAGCTGAAGACGACGACCGAGGCTGTAGATCTGACGACGACGGTGAACAATCTTCAGATCTAACGACGAACAAGGAACTTCCAAGACCACCAACACCACAATCGCGATGCCGATCTAATACAATAACCACCCAATTACAGACTCACACCCATGATCGCAGCGCTCTGATACCATGTTCAAAATCATATGAAAGAGAGAGAGAGAGAGATTATATCTTGTATATAACACATTACAGACCTAATAAGCCTATACAGGCTTATATAATGATTACAAGTCTTACTTAATAACACAAGGGCCCTATCAACTTTCTGTAATTACATAATGACCGAACACTTATATATATATAACATTCTAACAGCATCAAAGCTCACTTTTGATATATAGCATATAGGCCTCATAGAGGGAAGTAAATCACAGCACGGTATTGATTTCTCAACTAATAATTCATGACATTCTAAAGGTTGCAGGCATGATTCATGATAAGATAGTGTGTGTACCCCTGGGTATGTTTCTCCGTGCAAAAATTGCCGGATGCTTAGATCTAGAGTTCCCACTACACTGTTTAGGACAGTTCTCCTTATATTTTTCTCTTCCTTCTTAACCTGAAATTTAAAATGGGGGAGATAAGCCACTGATAAATCATATATTCAGCAAGAGCATATAATGGCACGTAGGAAATATTCCAACAGTTATTTTACAGGAAAATTTGCATCAGAAGATGAAAGCATGCATTATGTTGTAAATGTCTTTAGTTTAAATCATGCAACAAGTAAATCAAAGTATCAAAAATCTCAGTAACATCTTTGATTCACACACATATGGCTAAAACCCTTAGTTTGAAAAAAGATCATAATAATAATAATATCTGAATAAGTTATTTTATGTGACCCCACAACATCCATTTTACTTCTGCTCATATAGTTGGAAACACAAAAATTAAAAAATAAAGGATATCACACAAATGCTCACCATCTTCCAGATAGATTGGGTGAGACGAGTCAACAAACTAACGCCGCATCACGCTTTTATGAGCTAATGAGTTCAACTGATCTTCAACTCTTCAATGTGTCAACAAACTCAAGCTCCCTTGAGAACCTTTGCAAATGAATGTATGCTTTAGAATAGGGAAAGATGCTATTAATTGTGTGTACTTTCATAAATTCACTTGGTTACTCAGTTGTCTACCATTTTTTTTTTACCGATATTAGTTTCTTAGTTGTATATCATTTTTACCACACCAAATCCAAACACTTCAACAAGCATTGCCATAAGAATTGCCCTCCCTCCATATTGTAACAACTAAAACTTTTGGAGCCATGTCTTCTAAGTGGTCCCAGAAAAAATTATTGAAATTAGGATTCTAGGAAGGATTGTTAGGGAAATAAGTAGGATAAAAAGTGTTTTTTAAGAGGAAACAAAAATAGGTTCCTAGCTGTCAGCTAATTCTCTTCTAGTAGGTTACAACTTTTTTCTCACTAATGATGATGGAGATCAGTAGCGCATCCTTTAAAGATGTATAAGAGGCATGGAAAGGAGGATTTAAGCCTGATGTGGGGCCCAATTGGAACCTTACATAATTGGGATTCATCAAGCTAAGTCATTTACGGGTTTTGTTATCTGGGCACTTAAACAGCCATAGAGTCTTTTATAAGCTCTTGTTCAATTTATTATAAGGATCAAAAGATTATAAGTTTACTAGTCATGGTTAAATGTGTAAAAGTCAAGCATTTAAGTCATGTAAGAAGTTTAAGAGTTTCAAGTCATACAGGTTACCTCCATAATGGTATTAACTCCAAGAGCCATATGGGTAGAAGTAGGTAATCTAATAAAAGGGGTGTAATATTTGTTTTTATCAACAATTGAAAGGGTGAGTAAGCCTTACAGAATTTTCTTGTGAGTGATTCACAAACATTTGAGGGGACGAAACCTTGTCAAACTGTGATGCCTATACCCCACTGGTAAGACTCCAATAGGTTTCTCTTCTTCCTTATCCTTCGTCCCTAGTTTTAAACCATACATTCCCACAATATGCCTCCAAACTCTTACGCTGTACTATCTTAAATTTCATAAAATAAATCCATTAACTTTCAACTGCATGAGGATTCCCTTAAAGTCTCACATCAGTTTGGTATCAGAGCAAAGTTGGCATCATATCTACAAGACAGTAAAGGACTGACAACTAAGTTACTACACTAGAACATATAAGGTCATACCCCAGTTACAACATCAGTTTTGCTAGACCACAAAACTTTGGATCGCCTCAACCTACCATAGACCAGCAGCGGACATAAAACTCTCAAGCTTGCGCTTTTAGTAAGCTCAAACTCAAAAAAAAAAAAAAAAAAAACAATAAACAAAAATTAAAAAAAAAAAAAAAAAAAACTCAACACACAAGCCCATCCCCAGTATTTTAATCATTCAATCATAGTGTTTACATTTCTTGATGGCCATTATTTGTCATTATATCATATAACGAGTATATTCGATTGATCATATTGTTTACTCTTTTCATATTAATGGCAGAATTTATGGGCTTACAATTGACTGCCTGCATCAAAATGTGTTTAATGCTTAATTCTAAATTTTTAATGAAAATATCATACATGTTAAAAATCTAAATAATTAAATGTTGCACGTTAGCCAATTAAATTTATGAATATGCATACTGAACAAAAGAGAGTTTCAAAGATTAGCAAAAAAAGTAAGTGACGAGGATCTAGAGAATTATAAGAGATTAAAAAATGAAAGTAAAGATAAAGAAAACGCACCAAATGATTTATATGCATACTAGGCACAATGGACGGAGAAAAAGTTATTTATAAATTTGCAAAGTGTAGAGATAAATCAAATTACCTACATTAATCAAATTAGATGCATTAAAGATGTAGACAATAAAAGTTTAGCGAAGGATGGTGACACATCAGATGGATGAAAAAAATTACTTTCAACACCTTCTTAATGAGGAATATGCTAAAGAAGTGGAAAGTAATAAATTTAATGTAGGAGTTATAAATAAAATCAACAATAAGGAAGTAAAGGACACTAAAAAAGAGGGGAAAAGTAAAGCGGTTGGGTTGGATTGCATTCCTATCAAAGCATGGAAAGCACTAGGAAACATAGGAATTGAATTGCTAACAAACTTATTCAACAAGAAGGAAGAATGTCATTTCAGGTCCGATAACCAATTTGGATTTATGCCACGGAGATCCACAATGAAAGCTATTTACTTTAATACAATTAGTCGAACAATGTAGGAGTCGGTGTTATTAAAGGCGCTAGGCGCACTGAGGCGCTAGAGGTCCCTTGGAGCCTAGGCGCGAGGCACGTGCCTGAGTGAAGTGAGGCGCACAAGCAAAAATTTAAAACAATAAATCTCAGCAAACCGAATTCAGGTCAAAGACTCTAACATGTTGTACAAAATTTTAGCATTGGGATGATGCAAAGTGCAAATAACTTGTTCGAACATACAGTGACCAGTGACTACAAAGGTCTCAAACAAGGAATACCAGAAGCTGTCATTTTAGTCACCAAAATTATCTAAATGAACGGTAGAATTGGTTGATGAATCAACTCAAAATGCAGCAGAGCACAAAAACAAAATGCAGCAGGAATGTTAAACCCAAAATGCAGGAAATAAATTAGTCAAAAAAGGAAAATCAAGAAGGGTGAGAGAGAGAGAAAAAGAAGACAGAAAAGGACAGCAAAAAAGAAAGAAAAGGAAATCATCAACAAGATGGAGGAAAAAAAACAGAGAAAAAATTAAAAACCCCACAGAACAAGTACTTAAGACAGAGAAAAAAAAAAAAAACCACACTGTTCACGAGAGAAGGGAAAAAATACAGAGAGAAGAGGGAGAGAAGAAGAAGTAGATGAAGAAAAGAAAGAAAAAATAAAAAATAAAAAACAGAGCCCCCAAACAGAGACTGACACAAAAACAAAAAAACACTGTTCACAAGAAAGGGGAAAAACAGAAAAAAAAAAATAGAGAGAAGTAGATGAAGGGGGAGAGAAGAAGAAGAAGTAGATGAAGAAAACAAAGGAAAAAAAAAAAAAACAGAGCCCCGAAAAAAAAAAAAACAGAGAAAGAAGATTTAAACGGGGAGAGAGAGAGAGAGAGAGAGAGAGAGAGAGAGAGAAGGAGAAGGAAAAAAAATAATAACAACTGAACTAACCTGGTCACCAAACAGGGATTGATGTTGACTAGGGCTTTCATCTTCGTCGGATTGTTGCTGCAATGGCTGACCTGCTTTCTTTCTTTCTCTTTTCTTTCCCACTCCCTCACGTCTCTTTCTTTTATTTGACTATTGACTTGCTTTATATATTTTATTCTTTTTTGTTTCATAAGATGACAAAACTTCCTTTTGGGTTTGGAAACTAAAAGCTTCTAGTAAATAGAAAGAATACAAAGCATTAAAGCACATAAAAGGAAAACTGAAGAAACATATAGATGAGGCTCGACTAGGCGTGCCTAATAAAAAGCCCAAGGCGCAGCCCAGGAGCGCGCCTAATGAAGGTCGCTGCGCCTGTGGGAACAAGAGTCGCTAACCTTGCACTTGTGTGCGCCTCGCGCCTAGGCGCGCTTTTAATAACACTGGTAGTAGTAAGAAAAAGGATCTACATATTGTCTTTATAGACCTAGAAAAGGCTTACAATAAGGTGTTGAGAGAGATAATTTAGCGAGCTCTAGAAAGAAAACAATTCCCTCTAGTTATGATAAAGATGATTCCAGATATGTATCTAAATACCAAAACAAGAGTTCGAACTACCTGAAATGAGACTAGAGATTTTTCTATAAACATAGGGTTGCACTTAGGGCTAGGAAGCACGGACACTCCAGGGGTGCCGCTGTGTCGAAAACTTGGACACGGCCCGGACATGCAGACACAACTCGGACACAGCTAGAAGTGTCCTGAAATTTGAATATTTTATTTTTTGTTTGGACACGGCATGGACACAACAAGGACAAGTTTTGGACACTTCCAGGATACGGCGGGGTGATTTTGTATTTTTTTTTTTTGGAAGAATGAAATTCAATGCAATTAAAAATATATTATGCTCTAGTGCAAAAAATAATATTAAATTTAAAATAACAAAATTAACAAACATTTAATTTTAAACTCCAAATTAGTGCTTTCATTCATGCTTATGTGGCTAAAATTAATAAAAATCAGTGTTTTTCTATATATAATAAAATATTATATTATTATTTTTTGACATATCCATACCGCATCCGTGTCCTAGTTTTTTGAGATTTGTCGTATCGTCGTGTCCGTATCTTGTCATACCCATATATCCGTATCCCTGCTTCCTAGACTTAGGGTGAGCCATGTTACGACAAACGCAACGAACCAAGAACAAATCATGAATCACAACAGAAAATTAAACATGCCACACCAAAAACACAAAGATTTAGCATGACAAGTTGTGTCTACATCCACAGTGAAGATCCGGTGAAAGGTTTCAATATGCAAAAAACATGAGATTACAAGTTTCATCTCCAAAGCCCTAGGTCTCGCTTTCACTCTCTTTTTTGTGATTTTCAATCTCTCAATCATCCCACTCCGACCCTGATATACCTGGCTACAAGAGAATACTAAACCGG